ATACTCTGCCCTGAATATGCTTAATATGTAGCTTCAGATTAAAAATTATGTGGTACAAGACAAATATATATGATGTTGACTAGTGTGTGTCACGTGTGTGTGTGTGTGCGCGCGCGTGTGTGTTAAGCCCCAGATCTTCTTCAGTCCTAAATCCGCCCCTGTATGATATATTTAACAGGATTTTTATCATAACAACCAAGAATTAATACAGGAAAATAATGAAGATTAACAACGCTGCCAAAACTTTCACATATCTTCTCACAGGTCACCTACCTCTCAAAAACATCTCGCGTCCTCAGTCACTTGGAGCAAAGTCAGATCAGAAGTCATCAACAGGAGTTGACTGACTAGCAGATCAGTGATTTGTGGTTTAATCACCCTGCCTACAAAAGAGAGAGTAAAATTTTCCTACCCCACTTTCCACCAGCTCCAGCCCCCCCTTCTGTCTGCAATCCAACATGAAATTAGATTTCCATGCTGTCATAGGACTCTCTCTTCTCTTGCATTTTTCCTTGCAAAGGCCTCCATCTTGTTTTGACACGTCTTGTTTCGGTGGGAGAGTTTAAAAAGCTGTCAGACTGGATTTAGTATCCAAACTGAAGAGATTCTTGTTTGAACTGGTTCCAAAGCTAAGCATCCGAGCACGGGTGTAGATCAGATATACCTGATGGTGTACTACGCTTGTATCTGATGCTTTTTGTGAAGCAGGTCTTTGTCAGAGCGTCAGCCGCTGAGCAGATAAACCCTTGAAGGTGTTTTCTGATAATGTGGTTGACTTCTAACCGACTGCAGGGGGGTGTCACGAGACGTTTTTGTTGCAAACACAATCAGCATTTCAGCAACAACCACAAATATCCCAACTACATCACAATCATTGGTTATAATTTAGAAAATAGAGACCCAAATGTCAGTGACTTTTTGGTAACACTTCCTTTTAAAATCCCCTAATTACTAAGTACTTACATTGTAATTACATGGTAAGTTAAAGGGCATTGTTTCTGAGTTTTTAAACAGTTATTACCATGTAACTGAGGTTCATTTCTAGTTTTTGTTTTTATTAATCATTACCAGTAAATACTACTTTACACAATAATTACACTTTTTTACAATTATGCACTTCAATTACCATGTAAGTACTTAGTAATTAGGGGACTGTAAAAGGAAGCGTTACCGACTTTTTAATCCCCGTTAAATCAGAAACCATGAAAAAGTGACATTAAGTTTTGTAAAAAGTAGACTGGGTCATGCCATTATTTTAGCGGACCAAAACCAAACCCACCTTTTCACACCCTTCCTGTGTGACTCACTGAACATTCCTTATTTTGTTGCAGGTCGGAGGTCATTCCACAGTGTTCAGTGGAAAAAAAAGGCTGGCAATAACCTTTGGATAGCACAGTAACTGCAGAGGGAAAGCAACTAGTTTTGTTCTGTTAATTTCCTCTTTCTCTCTCTCTCTTTCTCTCTCTCTCTCTCTCTCTCTCTCTCTCTCTCTGTGTGTGTGTGTGTGTGTGTGTGTGTGTGTGTGTGTGTGTGTAGCTGGACTCATCTATGCCTATAATCAAGGAGGATCCCAGTTTTGTTCATGCAGCCGTTCAGCTCTGATTTATCGGGGTGCTTCTCTGAGGGTGTGGTGGTGAGGGCGTGCAGAACTCTTTGTGTTGCACTTAAGCTGCAGCTTGTGAAATTAGACTTGTGATGCTTTTTTAATTGCCTGTTGTGGTGAAAGACGTGGGTTAACTTTTAGAGAGGTTATTAATCTCACTCTCTTCTAAAGCTTCACCTCTGCCTTTGTCTTTTGCTTACATATTCCATTTCCATCAGATCCTCTTTTAATTTTAACTCCAAAGTCAGTGCAACGATCGGCGCATCGCATTTAATGCATTTATTTGTGATCCAGCAGGTGGCAACCCCTTGACTAAATAAATGTAATCAAGCAAAGCTTCAGCTTGCAAGTCTTTTGCAAATGCATGAGTAACAGTGCCAGACTTTAAAAATAAAAGTGGGTTCTGCCCTCTGGACTTACCACTCGGATCTGAGTCCAGGGAAACGTGTTGGCCAAGGAGAAATCTTCTCCACACTCTCCTGGGTCCTGGACTCCACTCGTCTGTGGCTGAAGGTAACCTGGGATACGGATGCAAAATCCCTGTAGACAGGGATCACACCAGCTCCAGGCGATGCTGCTTCCACTCGTAACTTGTCCGGGGCCGGGGTCTCTAAAAGGGTGGAAGTTCTAGACTAAGCCTCCCCTTATGAGAAAGGAGTCTTAGTTTATGAGTAAATCTAGTGAATCATCCAGGTCAGAAGTCAAGAACCAGAGACGATGTTCTCTTTTTGGGTTCAAATATAGGGAACCCTTTTAGTGAATGAAAAGTTCAAAAGATAATAAATTCACTCCAAGCAGATAAAAGATGAGTAAAAGTTTTATAAGGTCCATGGAACAAGTTTTATGTTTTATGTGACCGTATCACTGTGGTGGATCATCAAGCTGAAGAGTATAAAGAGAAAAATATCCATTTGTATTATTTTTGTTTGATTTTGTAGTTTTAAGATGTTTTTGGGTTGATAATGTAGGTAAAATGTAAAAAGCTTTTAAGTCAACTTAAAACCTTGAGTTTATGTGAAATGTAAAGCAAAAATATAAATAGGAAAGTTTATATAGTTCAAATGTAAAATAGTAAAACGATTCAAAGTAACATGAATCAACTGTACGAGATGGCTGAAGTCAATCACACCTTGATGTTCTTCCATATAACGCACATTTAATTCATAATATATAAATACAGTCTTATAATTCCTTCACGTTATTCTGAATTGTGTGAAATGGCCAAAAAAGAAGAGGAAAAACAAAACGATTTTGTGGTCACGCACCAAGGTCAGTTGGTTTCGTCTTGACTCCTGGTTTTTGTCGTTGACGATTGGAAACCTGTTATGGAGTCGAGTGCCAAACGAGATGGACAGAAAAAGGCCAAAACCATCAGGTGCCCAGTTCAGGAAAAGAACAAGAGGAGAAACGGGTTAAAGATAAAGGTAGTACGTTCTCATGCTAGGATGCACGTTTAAAATGATTTTTAAACCGGTTAACTGGGGATTTTGACGGTTAAATTCGGTCAACTAATTGCTAACAGAACAAATGGAGCTGAAAGTTTAAAATGAATGGTTCGAATAAATTCCTTCAATCCCTTTTTGAAGGATTCCTTTTTTCTACCCCAACTTTTGGACTGCTCTCATGATTGCTCCTACTCTGCCAGCCACCGTGGCTCAAGCAGAGAGGAGCTTTTCACAACTGAAGTTGATCAAGTCATGCCTGAGGTCAACCATGTCTCAGGAGCGACTCACTAACCTGGCCATCATCTCAAGGGATGTCTCGCCCGGGGAGTTATTCCATGTAGAACCTCCACCTCCTTAACCAGTAGATTCTCGAGTCATGATGAAACCCAGAAGGTGACCCAGAAGCGAGGTGTGCACCCCCTAGTGGCCACTATTAAATAGCACTAATCTTTTCTTAGTACCATGTGTTTCTTTGCAGGATTAATTGTGAGTAGTGAGTCTTTTACTGTACTTTCATAGAAAACCTGTTCTGTAGACAGACAGACTGTGGTCACCATGCTGATCCAGTTTAGTCATACCACCCACTCTCTGGGCCTCTTGTTTTTCTTGGCACTTTGAAACCTGCATCCAATCAGCCATCACCAGATATTCGTAGACTAGGAATCGGTGAGAGCTGGTGAGAAGGATCTGTTGGATCCAAGTGAAGAAGTGGAATCCGGCTGTGGTCTGGAGCGCTGCAGCAGCCGGAGGAGAGATGAAGCAGAAGGGTCTACGAACCCACTTGAAGGACAGAGTGAATTAGAGAAGATAAACGTGAGGGAATCAGATGGGATCTGGGAACAAGCGAGCTGCTCAGACATCAAAACTCAGTTGGTTGTTTACAGTCAAACAGGAAGAGGAAGTGGATATTTTACAGACAGGAAGTTACAGAAGTTTGATGCAGTCAAGAGTTTGATGGAAGGAAGATATTTTACAAAAATGCAGATTTCTGAAGACTTCATCCTCCGTGTCTGCTGGTGGTGGTCGGAGGGTCCTGTAGGGTACTGTGGCACCCGCGTGCGGCAGCCTTGCTTCTGTCAGTGTGGCCCAGGGCAGCTGTGGCTACAATGCAGCTCATCACCACCCGTGTGTGAACGACTGGCTGGTTGTAAAGTGCTTTGGGGTGTTGTTGAATCCTAGAAGGTGCTATATCAAATACAGGCTGGTTTACCCTTGATTTGTTCCCTTGTTTTCCACTTCAAATGTCTCTAATGTGTTTGTACAAAGATTTGTTATTGACATTTATTTGTTTATTGATGATAGGTGATGATATGTTTCTGTTTGTTAGCAAATCATCTCATAAATCACTGGATTTGAATAAAACCCTGCATCTGCTTTCCCGGGGCCTGCCACGGCTTTTCAGCTTTAGGAAATATGGAAAAAAACGCTGAAAAACTCAGTTTTCCAGAATTTGAGCAAGAATTAGACGTAGTCGCGTAGGTGCGAGTCACTCCCTACACATACTTTGAGTGCTAACGCATTTTGTGAAATTTTGCATGAGGTTGTTCACCGCATGCTTCACCCTGTCTGAACAAGATGATCTAGTTTGATGCTGGAATGCTTGACCTTCGTGGCCAAAGATGAAAGCGTCTAAAACAACAAATGTCTGTACAGGACTCATGCAAAAGACATTTAACCATTTGGACCGGTGAGTGCACAAAATGATGGATGCATTTCCTTCAGCTGGATTTCGTATTTTCAGTCCAAAATCTTTCCTCATTCTAATTTAAAAGCATGGTTGTCATCATGCATTCCTTATTAACACAAGTCCCTACTGTGTCAGCGCTGCTGAATGTGTTTGTTTGTGTTTCTCACCTGTGTGGGACCTTCTTAACAGTAAGATGGGCTCTTCCTATTTTCCCCTGATTAAAACAGAATTTTCTTTCTTTGTTTTCTGCCTCTAACTCTTGCAGATCGAGAGGAGGTTGGAGCTGGTACGAACGGTGTCGCACAACACGCACAAGAAGCTGGTGTCCTGTCTGCAGGGCCAGCTGGGCTCAGACACTGAGAAGAGACATGTAAGGAACTCGCACACAGCTGATTTCATCCTGCAGCAAAGCCGCAGAGAGCCTTCTGTCTTATATGTTAAAGTCTGCTGTCAGAGAGCAATAGGGAGCTGGGATCTTGCATCTCCTGTTATGCAACCCAAAGATATGAGACACACTCAGGAGAAAAGTATTCAACTCTGGCCTTGTTCCAAGCTCACGGCTCAAGTCCAAGTGACCATAAAAATGTACAAACTCCTAAATGAATCAGTCTTCTCTTCATTTTGGACTTTTTAAAGTGTTTTTCTGTGCAAATGTCATAAATATTATCTTACCTGTTGTAGATAGATTCCTGAGTGGCCTCCGTTCAGAGAGATTTCATCCAACAGGCTCATTTAGCTGTTTCCGGTCTCTTTTACACCCGCAAAACCAAACCAATATAGAATTTAGTCAGAACTGATGGTGGAAAGATTCATAAAATAACATTTACATGAACTAGCTGTTAGCTCATCAATCCTGTAGGATGTAAACACTAATTCTACAAACTGAGGCCGTTCAGGACACTGTCCACAACAGGTAGGAATCTTTGCCATTTTTTTTACACAGAAACACCCCTTTAGTGGCTTTAAAAGGGTTTTAATGTCTGTGCAGAAAAAGCTGCCGCTGACGGCTCTGTCCCAGTCCATGCAGGAGGGGGGTGGTCAGCTGGGGGACGAGAGCCTGATCGGGTGAGACCTGAACCCATTCAAGCCTAATATCTAATCTGTTATTAATATGTGCATGATGCTGTCAAGTGTCAACACTTCCTGTGGTGAAAGTAGTGATAACAGTTCTATTTGCATGTGTGTGTGTGTGTGCGTGTGCATGTGTGTGTGTGTGTGTGTGTGTGTGTGTGTGTGTGTGCGTGTGCGTGCATGCAGGAAGATGATGGATTTGTGTGGGGAGGCAGAGAGCCGATTAGCCTCTGAACTCATGCAGCATGAGCGGCAGATTGAGAAAGAGATTCTGGAACCTCTCAACCAGCTGGCAGAGGTAAAACACACATTAATGCTTTCTTTGCTTGCCGTTGATATGTCAAGAAGCAGAAGAAGCAGCATGCAGAAGTGTTAGAATATGTTTGAAGCACAGAAACAAAAGGTTCTCATCGGAACGCTGTTCCCAGTACTGAGGGGCATGTGTGGTCATGCTTTTCTCACCGTTTCCCCCACAGGTGGATATTCCCAATATTCTTAAACAAAGGAGGCAACTCGCTAAGCTGGTCCTGGATTATGACTCAGCAAAAACCAGGTTGGTTTGTATGAAAATAATCTAGACTCATCCATTTTTAATGTAAACTTTTGCAGCAGGAAAGCCTTTTCTTTGCACGAGCAGGAGTCTGATTTCATTTTTTTGTGTCCTCCAGGTGGTATCAGGCAACAAAATCCACCAACCAGGCCATGGCATCAAAAGTGGATTCGCTCAAAGACGAGATGGACGAAGCGCTCAATAAAGTAGAAATGTGCAAGGTAGTTTTCAACCATATCGTTTAAACCACTGCTCAGAGACCTGGTGGTTTAGTATTCTGTACGAACAGACCTTAATGGAAGCGTGTCTGAGCTAATGGCACATTCCACCTCGGTATAAAGTCAGGTCATGTTTGGATGAACAAATGCAGCCTTGTAGCCGGAACCGAGCCGGAGCAGCAGGCCAGGCACGTTATTAAATCTGTAATTAAAGGTCAAAGAGTTATCATCTGGAGTTAATCTGGGTCTTAATTAAGAGTCTGGTGGCAATGAAGTGCTTAAAGTAAAACAGTGTGTGTGTGTTCATCTTGCAGGACCAGCTCTCTGCAGACTTGTACAACTTTGCATCAAAGGAAGGAGATTACGCTCGCTATTATGTGATGGTGAGCGTGCATCGGTTTACTCTAAAATCCTCCCACAGCTTCAGGTTTTCTGTGATAATGTATGAAAGTGTGTTTTTTCAGCTACTAGAGGCCCAGGCGGATTACCACAGGAGGTCTCTGGCAGCTTTGGAGGCAGCTATTCCAGCCATCCACATTCAGCAAGGTACAGAAATGTGCAGCCAGCGGCAAATTACAATGACTGATTCCTTTATGTTTTGTTGTTCCATCAAGACTCACATTTAAGCAAGGCAGCTTTATTTATAGCACATTTCAAACACGGGCAATTCAGTGTGCTTTTCAATTAGCACAACAATAAACAGAAGGACACAAATAAAAAATATACACAGACAAATTATAATTTAGAGCTAAAAGGAAAGGATTTACTGTTGAGATTGTTGACGGATTTGTCATAAAGGATCCTGTTCAGGTAGGCATGTTACCTGATGCAGATCAATAGCACCAAATGATGCCAGTTTCTGTTTTCTTAGAGCACATTTTAGTCCCTCGAAGTACATGAAGCAGGAAAAATAACTACCAAACACAAAGAAATTCTACAATATATGGAGATGTTTGAGTAATATTTTTGTTATACATTACTATTAAGGCAAGGCAGCTTTATTTGTATAGCACATTTCATACACAGAGGAAACGCAACGTACACACACACACACACACACACACACACACACATTTAGAACAAACTGAATACACAATTTAAATTCAGATTTAAGAATCAGATAAAATACAAAGTTAAAGGTTGAGCAGGAACAGGTGACACTTTAAAACATTAATTTAAAGGCTAATGAATACATGAAAGTTTTCTGTTTTGATTCATAAGTGACCAGAGTTGGGGTACATTTGAGGTGATGAGGAAGCTGATTCCATCTGTGAATCATTCACCTGTTTGGTTCTGACCCGAGGTTCTACCAGCTGAGTGCTTCCTGAGAGCGCTGCTGGGCGTATATACCAGAAGAAGATTAGACATGTATTCTGGCCCCATGCTATTGAGTGATTTATAAACTAGTAGAAGTACTTTGAAATTGATTCTGTAGTTTACTGGTAACCAGAGCAGAGGTTTCAGAACAGGAGTGATGTGCTCGGTTCTCTTGGTTCTTGTTAATGTTAATAAGCTGCAGTTGCTTCACAGCTTTTTTGGGAAGACTAGTCAAAGACCATTGCAATATTCCAGCCTGCTGTAGATGAACGCATGAATGAGTTTCTCTAGGTCCTGTCATGAGGCCTCTGAGTCTTTCCATTTGAAAAAGATGACAACACACTGATCTAGTTAGCCTTACTGTGACCGGTGAAGCTCAGGTCTGAATCAGTCCTGACACCAAGATCTCTAACCTGGATCTTTGTCTTTATCAATCTGGAGCCAAGCTGAGCGATAACCTCAAAGGCAATAACTTCAGTCTAAAGCCTGATTCATGCTTCTCCGTCTGCGTCAGTGCGGAGACACGCAACGCCATTATCCGTCCATGCGGGCCTGCTGGAGAGCTCCACAAGGACGCACGGAGTCGAGCTCTCTTTTCTAAACATCCGTCAGTTGAGACGGACAACGCAAGCTTGTGATTGGTCAGGACGCCGCTGTCGTCTACGCCGCCGCCATTGCGCCCTCAAAAACATAAAGAGAGCCGAGGATAACTAGCGGCAGACACAGAGCAGCTTGATGAATATCTCGCGAAAAAACTAAAAATATGAACGTTTAATTCCCCTGTGACTGGAGGAGTGAAAAGATACGCAGCAAACATTTTATTTGTGGACGGAAATGACAGGGAACGTGGGTTTAGAGGTGGTGAGCGCATGAAGAGGTGGAGGAGGATGAGAGACAAATTTGTCTGTGTTAAAAAGTCTCTTATATACAAAAACACACAATATAAACACACTATCTTGGACCGATACATGACAGGATGCCACAGAACAGCGCTACGCCCTCTGTTGTCCTGGCGGGGAATTGCTTTGCAACACTCCCCAGGAGACAGAAGTATGAGAGCAAAACGCTTCTGTCAATCCGTGCATGTCTGTCCCTTGCGGAGCTGACGGAGAAGCATGAACCAGGCTTAACTGGAGGAAGTTTGACTGCATCCAGTCACTGACTTGCTCCAAACACTGGCAGAGTGAGTCTAGGGGACCACAGTCACTAGGTAGAGCTAGGTAGGTCTGGGTGTCATCTGCATAACTATGATAGGTAATGTTGTTATTGTATCTGACCCGGGGGGGGCAGAATAGAGCTTTGGGAGACCCCACAGGTCATTACCAATAGAAACAACAAAACTCCTGTCTTTGAGGTATGATCAGAACCAACTATGGACTGTGCCTGATAGTCCCACTTAGTTTATGAGTCTACCAAGAAGAAGAAGAAAGTATCATTTCTATAGCACCTCTCAAGATAAAAATCACGAGGCGCTTCACAAAAACAAAAAATGTAAAAATATAAAAAATAATTTAGAAAATGGTTTGTTGTGGTTCACAGTAGGGCTGAACGATCAGTTGTTTTTGGACTGAAATAGTAATTGTACACATTGCAATCACATGATCGTCAAAGCTTCTTTTATTTTTGTTTATTTTTTGATTTTTTGTGGCTCTCCTGACTGACCCAGGATCTGTTTTGTCAAAGTTTTTAGACATCCAGGGTTTCCCCCTGTGCTAACACGGCAGCAGCCAGCACGGGGGAGGGGGTGTATCAGAGCCGAGCCCAATTGTTCAGCTGACAGAGCTGCACATTTTGGTTGTTTTCCCCATTTTATTTTTTCAAGACAAATTACTAGAGTCGATAGTAATGGCTGTGCAGCGGGTGTCATCTCAGCACCTTGGGTGAGAGAGAGAACCTTGAGTGAGTGAGTGAGTGAGTGAGTGAGTGAGTGAGTGAGTGAGTGAGAGAGAGAGAGAGCGAGAGAGAGAGAGAGAGCGAGAGAGAGAGAGAGCGAGAGAGAGAGAGAGCGAGAGAGAGAGAGAGAGAGAGAGAGAGAGAGAGAGAGAGAGAGAGAGAGAGAGAGAGAGAGAGAGAGAGAGAGAGAGAGAGAGAGAGAGAGAGAGAGAGAGAGAGAGAGAGAGAGAGAGAGAGAGAGAGAGAGAGAGAGAGAGAGAGAGAGGAAATTAACAGAACAAAACTAGTTGCTTTCCCTCTGCAGTTACTGTGCTATCCAAATGTTATTGCCAGCCTTTTTTTTCCACTGAACACGGTGAAATGACCTCTGACCTGCAACAAAATCTGCATAACAACGCTGATTTTTACTTCAGTGTCAGCTCGAGTGCAGAGTTGTGCACTTAAGTGGACTTGAAAGCACAAACGGTTTGAATTTTTCCGATGGCACACGATAATTCAAACAAGCATGTAAAAGGTGTCAGTTAGAGCGGCGTTTTAGTGAGTTCAGGTGGCACAGAAAAAACCCCAGGCAGCCTGCCTTGGTAAATAATGCAAGAAAACTATGAATATGTGTTATTTTCATTTGAAAGCTATTTTTACCTTCAGTCTACCTCCTTACATTGAGAAGAACAAGAATAAGAACACGCTTAATATAAAGCACCTGTCTAGATAAAAGTCACAAGTTGCTTCACAAACACATTAAAAATAACGGCAGGAACAAGTTACTAACTTTAAATGTTTTTACTGTATACCTATATATTATATGATATATAAAATATATATTATTCTATATTATGAATAATGTGTTGAAATTGTGAATTGAACTGAAATTGCAATTTCTCCTAGAAAAATTGCAATTTAATCTTATCCTATAATCGTTCGGCCCTAGTCCACAGTATCAAAAGCTGCACTGAGATTGAGCATCATCAGTATATATTAACATAGATTAAAACTATTGTAGCCCAAAGTTAATTAAAAAGCAAGAAGAAAAACCTTTTCTATTGCCTTTTTATTATTATGGACATTAAAGGGCAAAAGAATTAGCCCTTTAGACAAAATTCTAATGAGAGAAATTCTTCAGAAGACGCACAAAGAGGACAAATAATCGTGTGTGACACGTTGGAGAAAGTACATCTCCGAACTGGCCCAGGAACGCCTTGGGAGGAGGAGGAGCTGGTGGAGGTGGCCGGGGAGGGGACGGTCTGGAACTCCCTAGTTGGGATGCTGCCCCTGCGACCCAGACCCGGATAGGTGGAAGAAGACGAGAAACGAGATATTAATAGAAATGATCACAAAACTAAAATATTAGGTGAACAGAAACGACAAGTTACTGTGAAGCCACTTTCAGGCAACTGCATTGGTATCGATTAACTTTTACCGATACTGGTATCGATCCCTAATCCCTAATTTTAACTAATATATTTGCTTTAAACTTAGTTTAAATACATTTGGTTGAAAAGAATCAGCAATCTGAAGGATTTTGTTCCTGTTGTTTCACCGTAACCTGCTAACCTTTAAAGCTTCTGACTTTTTTTGTGACTTGATTTAATCCATTCTGGTCATATTGATTAAAAAACAAATGAGACATTTTACAAAGTCTCTCTTTGACAGGAAGGTTCATAGATACTCTTCCTGTTGTGTAGTTAACTGTATTCAGTTGATGGATCACATCTGGACTGGTAGAGAGAGAAGAAAAGAGGAAGAATAACAATGGCACCCACACATGCAGGAGAAAATTATGCTGAAATTAGAAACACTATGTGTACATTGAACATATTATTTCTGATTTATTCATATCATTCCATCTATAAACATCAAATTGTGTGTGTACGATTTGTGTATTTCTAACATTTGGATGCGTTTCCTTTCCTTAGATTCGTGGATGGAAAAGCCAGCCTTCGGCACGGCTCTGGAGGAACATCTGAAGAGGAGCAACCGTGAGATCGCTCTGCCCATAGAGGCCTGCGTCATGATGCTGCTGGAGACTGGCATGAAGGAGGAGGTAGCGACCAACTGCTGGCAGAAAAAGAGACGAGGAACTTTGCTAAACTGGGACAAAGTTAATGGTTAATTTGTCGTATTTGAACTCGTCGTTGTCATCTTTCTCCGCTTATCCAGGTCCGGGTCGTGGGGGCAGCATCCCAACTAGGGAGCTCCAGACAGTCCTCTCCCCGGCCTTCTCCACCAGCTCCTCCGGCAGGACCCCAAGGCGTTCCCGGACCAGATTGGAGATGTAACCTCTCCAACGTGTCCTGGGTGGACCCGGGGGCGTCCTGCCGGCAGGACATGCCCGAAACACCTCCCCGGGGAGGCGTCCAGGAGGCATCCTGACCAGATGCCCAAACCACCTCAACTGGCTCCTTTCGATCTGGAGGAGCAGCGGTTCTACTCCGAGTCCCTCCCGAATGTCCGAGCTCCTCACCCTATCTCTAAGGCTGAGCCCGGCCACCCTACGGAGGAAACTCATTTCGGCCGCTTGTATCCGCGATCTCGTTCTTTCGGTCATTACCCAAAGCTCATGACCATAGGTGAGGATTGGGACGTAGATCGACCGGTAAATCGAGAGCCTGGCTTTCTGGCTCAGCTCCCTCTTCCCCACGACAGATCGGCTCAGCGTCCGCATCACTGCAGACGCCGAACCAATCCGCCTGTCGATCTCCCGATCCCTCCTACCCTCACTCGTGAACAAGACCCCGAGATACTTAAACTCCTCCACTTGAGGTAGGACCTCTCCCCCGACTCGGAGTTGCCAAGCCACCCTTTTCCGGTCGAGAACCATGGTCTCAGATTTGGTGTCCACCAGCGGGTACGGGGGTTGCCACCACGACTGGCACCGGCCACCTTGCGACCACAGCTAGCAACAGCCGCCTCAACAATCGCAGAGTGGAACAAGGCCCACTCGGAGTCAATTTCCCCCACTGCTCTCGGGACGTGGTCAAAGCTCTGCCGGAGGTGGGAGTTGAAGACCGTCTTGACAGGTTCTTCTACCAGGTGTTCCCAGCAGACCCTCACTATGCGTTTGGGTCTGCCAGGTCTACGCGGCATCTTCCCCTGCCATCTGATCCAACTCACCACCAGGTGGTGATCTGTTGACAGCTCCGCTCCTCTCTTCACTCGGGTGTCCAAAACATACGGCCGCAGGTCAGATGATACGACTACAAAGTCTATCATCGACCTGCGACCTAAGCCGCCCTGGTACCAAGTGTACCGATGGGCATCCTTATGTTCGAACATGGTGTTTGTTATGGCTAAACTGCGGCTTGCACAGAAGTCCAATAACGAAACACCGCTCGAGTTCAGATTAGGTGGGCCGTTCCTCTTAATCACACCCCTCCAGGTCAAGCTGTCATTGCCCAAGTGAGCACTGAAGTCCCCCAGCAGGACAATGGAGTCCCCTGATGGAGCACTATTTAGCACTCATCCCAGGGACTCCAAAAAGGGTGGGTACTCTGACCTGATATTTGTCCCATAAGCACAAACAACAGTCAGGGCCTGTTCCCCAACCTGAAGGCGCAGGGAAGCTACCCTCTCGTCCCCCGGGATAAACCCCAACACACAGGCAGAGAGTCTCGGGGCTAACAAAAAGCCAACCCCAGCCCTCCACCTCTCACCCGGAGCAACTCCAGCAAAGGAGAGTGTCCAACCCCTCTCAAGGACTTGGGTTCCAGAGCCAATGCTATGTGTCGAGGTGAGTCCGACTATATCTAGCCGGTACCGCTCAACCTCTGCCACAAGCTCCTGCTCCTTCCCCGCCAGCGAGGTGACGTTCCATGTCCCAAAAACCAGTTTCCTTGTCCAGGGATCGGACCGCCAAGGCTCCCGCCTTGGTCTGCCACCCGATCCACATTGCACCGGACCCTTTCAGGTTCTTCCTGCGGGTGGTGGGTCCATAGTTGGATGAGCCCATGTATCCGGTTTGGGCTGGGCCCGGCCGGGCCCCGTGGGCAAAAGCCCGGCCACCAGGCGCTCGCTCACAGGCCCCAACCCCAGGCCTGTCTCCAGGGTGGGACCCCGGTAACCCTCCGGGCCGGGTACTCCGACTCTTTGAATGTACTTCCATGAAAGATCCTGTGAACCGTTCTTTGTCTCACCCTTCACCTAAGACCAATTTGTCATGGGAGACCCTACCAGGGGCACAAAGTGCCCCAGACAACATAGCTCCTAGGATCATTAGGGCACTCAAACTCCTCCACCACGATAAGGTGACGGTTCAAGGAGGAGCGTATTTGAACTCATGAAACCTAAACGCTCTCATCCGTTGGAGCTGGAAGGAGGAGAGGTTAAATGCATTCAGCTCTCTAAAAACGATGGCAGTCTGGAAACATCTGCTGCCAAGTTGTGGTCAGTTAGTTTTGGGCCTGCGGGAAATGGAATAGTTTGTGTGTGTGTGTGTGTGTGTGTGTGTGTGTGTGTGTGTGTGTGTGTGTGTGTGTGTGTGTGTGTGTGTGTGTGTGTGTGTGTGTGTGTGTGTGTGTGTGTGTGTGTGTGTGTGTGTGTGTGTGTGTGTGTGTGTGTGTACACATCTGTTAGCCATTTGTGTGTTACACTCTTTAAACGTAGCAGCATCGTTGGACTCCCCATAGAGGCTGATTTAAGACGCTTTTATGAAGTGAAACTAAAGTTTTGTTCTGCAGCTAAACGGTTCCTCTCTTGTTCCTGTCCGAACCGTACTTCTGCTGTCCTGCTCCCAGTCTCCTTCAGTCGTTGGGTTTTAACATCACATCCAGGTTCAGGTACTCATCCGTCCTGTGTGTTCCTTTCAGGGTCTCTTCCGCATCGCTGCTGGAGCTTCCAAACTTAAAAAGCTAAAAGCAGCGCTGGACTGTTCCACTTCGCAGCTCGAGGAGTTCTACTCTGATCCCCACGCTGTCGCTGGTACCACCTCCTCCTCCTCCTCCTCCACCACTGATTTATGAAACTATATCCAGCTGCTCCAGATCTTTTTTCTCATTGTGTTTTTCTTCCTGTGCAGGAGCCCTGAAGTCCTACCTCCGGGAGCTACCTGAGCCTCTGATGACCTTCAGCCTGTACGATGAGTGGATTCAGGCCTCCAAGTAGGACATCACACACACACACACACACACACACACACACACACACACACACACACACACACACACACACACACACACACACAAACAGAGGAATTCTAATATTCTGTAGAAAAACACACTCTGACAGAGATAACAAAGATAACAAGCATCATTTAAACCAGGATGCTGACCGACTGCTTCCTGCTCCGTGTGTGTGTTTTCAGTGTGTCTGACCCTGACAAGAGGCTGCAGGCTTTATGGGTAACATGTGACCATCTGCCCAAAGCTAACAAAGCGAACTTCAGGTAACTCCTTTGTGCATCGTTCTCTACCAATATCAAAACACTTAGACCACCTAATGCCCTTATGACTGATAAAAGGTTAATTATGCAAATAGCACTTATTAAACCATTCAAAAGCTGTTACAGTGATTTAACTCTTTCTTCAGGTTTGGCACATTTTAATTCCTGCATTATTATTATTAAAGTATTCACTGAAATGAACCGGATCAAAACAAAACTGATAAAACACAAAGAAAAGAGACAACAAAATATGTGAATATTAATCTAAATAAGCTTAAATAAAGATGTAGTCCAAGCTGAGGGCCGCCATTGGTCAATTATCTTTCTTTAAAAAAAAATTTAAGTCAAGCAGTACCCACAATGGTCTAGGCGTAAATAAAATGATGTCAAATAAAGTAAAACCTTGGTTTTGATTTGTGGGATATAGTGACATCATGTGGTGACCTTTTAGGTTGCCACTAAACTAATATAATTTCTTGTTTGTTGGGATTTCATAACATGGAAATCTAGACCAACTGTAGCAGTAGCAAATGATTCGTCTCTGCAGGTTGTAGTAGTCGCGCTCTACTGTGGCCTCAGCAGGTCTATCACTGGACTGAACTATTTTAGGTCCAGCCAATCACAGCGCTCTGTTTGTGGAGAGTCGTTGGGCGAGTTCAGCGCTAGAGCTGCAGTGGACAAAAGCTACAAAGATGTTTCTGCTCAGGGATGGTGCTCGTTTGATACAGCTTTGGATGATTTTGACTTTTGGGGTTTTTGTTGAGACAAGAGCAGATGAGGTACTTAAGTGCTTTATTAGAAAATTTATGAATTTACTTCTTCTTTAATGGTCTGTAGCAGCCTACCCCGGTGGTCGCTGTAGCGATGAGTCACATTTGTTGCTCTAATTGGTCCCAGCACTGTCCAACTGTGTGCAGAGACAACTTGAAAGACAACCATAGACTGTCTCACCAGGCTGGGGATTTTGCCATACGAGGCGTTTTATCTTTAATTCTATTTCTTTGCAGGTATTTGGTGAAGTTTCTGGCCAGACTGACTCAGGAAAGTGAGGTCAATAAAATGACTCCCAGCAACATCGCCATCGTCCTCGGGCCCAACCTGCTCTGGGCCAAAACCGAAGGGTAATAATGGGATCTAGACTGCAAACTGATGCATTAGACCTTAAACCAGCTAGTAATGGTTGTTTTTATTTATTGTGTTGCTTTGGTTCAATCTAGGACGCTGGCTGAGATGGCAGCAGCCACCACTGTTCATGTCGTGGCCATCATTGAACCCATCATCCAACATGCTGATTGGTTCTTCCCTGATGGTAAACCATCTCCTGGTTAAAGTTGCAGTTATGCTGAAGTGACCCATGAGCTATTTATAGTACACACACACGCATGCGTGCACACACAGATCAGTCTACTAGTTCGCTTGTGCTTGTTTTCTACTTCCGGTTACAATCTAGTTCTGGGAATTAATACAGTCAAAAGAAATGCTGTCACAGCTAATTCTGTTATTTCCGGTTTCCTGCAGAGGTGGACTTCAACGTTTCCGGCATGTTTTCCATGCCCAGCCATCCACCCACCCCTGACCTCGATCACGGCCTGGACAGGAAGCGCCCTGGCAGTCTGGGGCAGGACGGGGACAGTCACACCCCCCGTAAAGACAGGTACCTGTCTCGTCCCAACCTCAGCCTCAGCCTGTCTCGTCCCAAGACACTGAGCAGGCAGGAGTCGCGAGGCCCGGCAGTGTCGGCCCTTTATGTAGTAGCCGACGAGTCCATCACAGTCACTGAAACCCCCACAGAGGAGCCGCCCAGCCCAGGCTTCAAGGCCGTGCTCTAGTCTGATGTAGCTGGAAGCTGCTGCTGTCAGATGAACGAAGGGATGCTTTCTGTTGTTTGTGCTCTACATTTCTGTTCCGTTTAGGTGATGATCTAACTTTTTATGGTTTGTACTGATCACAATGAATAATATTTCTCTTTCAGATAACATCATTATGCACATTTATCATTAATGGGATTTCATTTGTCTGTTTTTATTGTGTGTGTGTACTCATCTGTTTAAGATTTCCAATTAAAGCCTAGGTGTGTCTGTAGGTTGCTGGTTTTATGTTTTGTTAATGCTTCCTGTGTTGCATTTTGTTCCTCTGGTGTGCCAGCGGTTTTCTGTCTTGTGGTTTTACGTCCTGTTTGGGTTCTTCTTTCTGGGCTGGTGCCACTGAACTCAGGAAGTGCAGTCTCTCTCCCCGTGTCTCGCTTCTCCTCTCGCTGTCTCTCTCGGTCTCCTGCTTCCGTCACTCTTTTTGTCTGATGGTTTGCCCTCCTGAACTCTCTCCCCTCTCCCCTCCCCTCCTCCGTAGCCCCGTTAGCAAACCTCCGGAGCCCACTCCACGCAGAGCCGGCACTGTAAATAGAAAGCAGACACAACTAACCTCACCCACCTTCCAACCCACTCTGCCCCCTCTGGAAAGTGGTGGTCCTCCTTCCCAGCAGTCTGAGCCGCAGCTGGAGGCACACCAGCCTGGCTCGGGTGGTGCTGGCGCCGCCTCCGCTGGTGGTGGTGATGCTTTGGGGGGTGGGGTCCGGGTAGCCACAGCGCAGCCTCAGACTGTAACGCAGCTCAGCGCAGAGGAGAGCAGGTAAGGAGCGAGTCAAGGCAGCATCAGTAATCCACCGTCTGCTCGCAGCCAATCAACCAATCTGGAGCCCCGCCCAACTTTTGTGTTTGATTGGTAACTGTAAATCCACAAAGAAACACTGATTCTCCAGACTAACTACTTGATTCAGTGCTTTTAATCTGGCTTCAGTAACTCAGAATGTGTCGCATTATAATTTTGTTTCTGCACTTTTTGCTCTCTGCTCTGCTTGTGATGATCTGAGCTCGGCCCGTTTTTGAAGATGCTCCTGTCCTTCCTTCCTGCCTGATAATCAGAACTCTCGACTGTACGTCTGACTGCTCGATGGACTCTTTGATTTTGCACGGAATACACTGAGACAGTTCTGTGTTTGCATTTTCTGATTTTTGTATCTTGTAATCATTTGAGCCCTTCTTCTTGCGCTGATCTTTGTCCAGATGTTTTAATCTGTGAATGGAAGCGTGTTTGTTTTATAAATCCTGCATGAGTTTTTGCATCCGTGCAGCTCTTGTTCATTGCATGTAAAGCATTTATAATTTAACACGTGGCTCTGTATTTCCCCAGTCCTGCCCGTGAGCTCGAGTCTACCCCCCCTCCACAGAGGAATGGTTTAGTCCATCTTGCAGTTGGAACCCCACACTCTCAGGGTGGGTCAAGGATACCTAGTCCACATATGGTCCGCAGAGGTGAGAAGGATAAATCTGCTCTGGTTATTTAAAATATACAATATTAATAATAGTTTTCACTAAATACTTTATGAACAATAAAAATCCACCCTATTAAATAGCTATTTGAATGACCTCAGTTTGGAGAAACAGAGATTAATTTTGGCTGGATTGACAAGCTAAGGGCTAATCTGTAGTTTGAAACATTTCAAATGACATAAAGGGAATAGGTGCTCATGCAGACACTTTTATTCATCGTTAAGCCTCACTGGGCTGCGAGGGTTCTCTGTTTAAATTACAGGGCTTCACTGTCGTCTTCCCAAAATATGTAAGACACAATTGTTCTTTCAGAATCATAAAGAAGTTGTTATGGGGTAACCATAACCATGAAATCTCAGTTTAGTTTCTATGAATCAGAAAGTGAAAGAAATGTGATAAAACAGAGGTAGGGGTTAGCAATTAAAATGAGGCCGTGTACACCCGTAGCAGAGTTTTTCTAAAACTGAAAATCCTCCTTGTTCCATCTAGGAAAAAACTTGGGTTCGCACCACTCTGTTTTCAGCAAAAAATATCCAGTGTACTGTGAAGCACATTCATTGGCACGCCAAGCCTGTAGGGGGCAGTAGTTCCCCAAATCTTCTGCATCTTTGCTGAAAAACATTCGTTGTACAAAAACTAGGTGTTGGGCAAAATTGTCCTTAATTTCGTCCTTCGCCTGTGGCCTTCTACAGCACATGTGTCAGACACATCTGGCCCGCGGCGCATTTTTATGTGGCCAGCGAGATAAATATAAAAAATATAATAAAACTGACTTGCTGGCCGATTTTACCGCAAAGACTACAACTCCCATGATGCTTTGCGGTGTTAGCGTGGAGCCGAAGCGCTCCCTCCTTTGTGTTTTTTCCAGCGTCTGCTGCCGGTGTCTGCAGCTCCGCTGTCTCGGACAAACTAAACACTCCTCTCACTCAGCGCCGAGTTTACTCAGCTATTTGCCGACGTTGAAGCCCAGAAACTGAGATTTTAACTGCTCAGTAATGTGTTCACGACTGAAAGAGAAAGTTTTCCAACTAACTTCCAGACAGAGCTGATATAAGTCCAGCGAGCAGCGACAAGCTCAAATGAACATGACTGTGGCTGCTGTAGTTTTTATTTTTCCTCCCCGACACACAACAACATGGTCAAGCTGCTCAGACGCTCTCCGTGTTCACCAGCACAAACCTATGTGAGCACCTGTTGTCATCTAATGTCATTATTATGATGAAGATGAACAAAACAACAGGAGTCTCCTCCTCAGCTCAGGCTGGTATGAGGCTGGAACATGTGAGCATCACAGTAAATTAGTGGAGCAAACTGAGCTTTAAATGTTTTGGTTTTATGCTCTTTTTATGCTCCAAAACATGAAAGTTAACAGGTGAGATGTTGCATTTTCATTTAAGATAAACTTATACTTTTATTTAGTTGTTGGCCCGTGAGAAAAGATTTAACCTGCAGTAAAACAGGAACTGGAAAGGCTGCAGATAGATGAGTAGAATAGAAAATCCCTTTATTGTTCCTCAGTGGGGAAAGCTAGACGTCACAGCAGCGATGACACTTATTACAGGAGAAAAAAAGGAGAATAAAAAATAAGAAAAATGAATAAACAACAAGAAAACATAAATCCTGAATAGATTTTAAAAATGCTGAATATACCACAAGTGATGAATACCACTGATGCCTTTTATTTAAAACTGACTTGCTCGTGTGTATTTTGGTTATTCCACACTCAGTGTTAATGCAGAAATAAGTTTGTTTCCAAATTAAAAGGTTAAAAATTGCATATATGTTGATAAAGAAAATGTGCAAATTTGCCGTTACTTTTTCTAAAAACATTAAGTTTGGCCCGCGACCTCGTCCCAGATTTTCATTTCGGCCCCGTGTGAATTTGAGTTTGACACCCCTGCTCTAGAGGAATCGTTGAGCTTGTAAAAACAAGTGAATGCAAACATAAGTCTTACATGTGATCAGAGCATTTTTGTTGCAATCAGTGGGAAAACTCCGGTTCCACAAGCTAATGCTGACAATTTGCAAATCTCCAATTTGGTCGAAGATTTGAAAGGCGCCATTTATCTTTACTTTTGCGTTGATGACGCCAAACCGTAGGAGACGGTCTTCATTTTGTGGGACAGCCAGCTATGTGGCCTGAGTAATAGGACAGGATACTTGTGATTAAACCATAACTGTTGCAAATCTTTCCATATGACCTGGACATGTTTGAACTTGTCCCAAAAGTTTCACAAGTACCGATTTTAGTTGATTTCAAGTGAAAATTAGCCTGGCACACCATCCTGTACATGTGAATATATAGTCTAGCCACGACTTATAGACAGAGCTCAGTCATGGGGCAGGATCTGCGATTGTCTTTCAGTCTCCACATGATATTGGACAACAAAGTCATGTACTCACCATTTAGGAGAGGCTTTTAAAAAAAACTTAGAGCGTGGCTTCAATTGATTCGTTGCATCATCCCACACACTAAACCTATAGAGCGTTGTGACTGACATAACACCAAACTGACCGGGCCAATGGTAGATCTGCTGAGGCTGGAGAGTGGCTAGACCAACATGCAGAGGAGAACCATTTTGTTACTGCTATGGTCTGTCTATACTCGTAGGATAAAAGAAAATAAGATTTTACAGTTTTGTATCTCCAACTAGTCACCAACATTTACAACCAGCAGCAGTTCGTTTACATCTTCCCTGGTTAGACTAGCCATTAGCTTGTCAATCTGGTCGTGTTAAACTTTATTTCTGTAAACGGTGGCCTCCTGGATTCTATTCAGAGATATATCAGTTGCTCGAGACATTAAGGAATCTGAAGCACCACTTTTTATAGCTTTTTAATGTTCTGCTTTAAAGGTACCAAAAAACAGGCTCCAGCTCCCCCCAAACTGGCCAGCCCTTTCTCTCAGTCCAACCAGTCCACCTCAACCTCCAGCTCTCCCAGTCACCCACCAGTCACACCTCGCCGTCACTCCAGCAAAGACATCATCCAGGCACCGAGCCATCCACCGCCGCAGCCTCCTCAAGCTCACCAGCCCCAGGGGGAGCCTGAACCGTCTCCCACCAGCAGTCCCACCCCTCCTGACACTCCACCTCATGACGGCTCACACTCCAACTTGCCGCACCCCCCTGTCTCCCCTTATCCTTCTGGGTCACTGCCTCGCCCCGCCAGGCCCGCTCCAAAGCCACGGGCCCGACCCAGCATGCCACCACCCCCGCAGCCTGCAGGGAGTGACGACTTCTGCAGCTCTGCATCAAAAATCATTACAGGTAAAGTTTGATGGATTTATTGCAGAATATTAAACTATTGGCAACCGTTTTTAAGGCGGTAACGGAAATTCTGCGGAAGAATTAGAAAAGTCAGAGATTTTTCTTTCTGGGTGTAGAAGACCGATTAAGAGATTTAGATCCAGTTATTTAAAAAAACCCTAAAACATAAAAATATGTTAAACACAAATGTTTATAACAGTACAGATGCATGCATCACTTTTAAAGTCTACTATTTTTTGATTATTCACCTAAAGGTGAATTTATAGTCAGCAAGTGAAGGTTTTTCAAAGACATTTTAGATTTTAGTCAAACATTCGGACGAAAGTGACGTATTTTTGTTGACAGTACTGTTCACTCCAGGCTTCGCTGGTGGACGCATCATCTCCAGATATGTTGGTTTCACCTGATTTCTTTGTGAAGGTGTTTTCATCGACTGAGACGATTTTGTTTCCCTGCCCGTTGGCTGACTCGTTCTTTAGCTTCCTCTGGGGGGAGTCGCTGTTTTTAGATGTCGGGCTTCTGGTTTCACTGCCTCGGTGTGTGTCAGACACCGAGTGGAACTGTGGTGATCAGAAGCATGACAGGAAATGTGTAAATGTTACAGATGTCTGAGCTGGCGGCCTGCCTGCAAGATGAGCTTTGCAAGGCAGGTGATGGTAAGGTTCTGACTGGCTGCTGCTGCTCTCTGTGTGTTTTTGTTCTGTTGGCTTTGTTTTAATGTCTCTATAGTTGTGTGTGTGTGTGTCATGCGTTGTGTTAAAGGCATGCTTTGTGCTTTTGAATGTTGTATAGGACCTACAGCTTTTGGCTGCTTTGGTAACTAACCTGCTTCTACTTAAAACTGCCCTTAGTTTTTCTCTGCATTCTTTTACACAGATTGTCTTTAAAAAGGTTGCTTTTACATTTTAACACACCAAGGAGACTCTTGGATAACTTCCAAGAAAAAGTCAATCATTGGATACTTTTTTTACATCTGAGAGCGATCCTTGGTGTCTTACCGAATGTGGAATGGTGTGTTTTCTGGTTTTGCTCCCCAGTTTGCAGTGTGTGCAGCACCTTTTTGGTTTTGGTTTATGAATCGATGTGTTTTTGTAATTGTTCCCCCTGACTGTCCTGCTCAGATGGAGACCTGGTTCTCAAGGGGATCGGAAGAGCTTATGTCCCTCAGGTGATCGGGAATCAACAGGAGAAGGGTTCTGCTGGTCAGGAGCCAGTCCCCGCCTCTGTGCCGCCCCCAGAGCTTCGCATTGTGGCACACAACACCGCCCTGTGAGAAAGAGCCCAGTCTGCCCAGTTCTTAGTGTTTAGTATCAGAAAGCAGCCACCTGTTGGCTCTCCGGGTTTCAGTAACAGATCCTTTTCTTAGAGACACATCTCAAACCAAAAGACTTAACCTACAGTGTTGTCCTTACCACACACACACACACACACACACACACACACACACACACACACCAGACTTGTTGTTTTACTACTGTTTTTATTTTTTTAGTTTGGACCTCAAAGCCATTCTTAAACATAAGAACATCATAGTGCTTCCAAACAGATAAAAAAATGTTTTTTCAATTCTTTGCGGGTTTTTTCCCCTCAAACATTTTGCTGATATAAATTCTCTTTTTTGGTTTTAGAATTGTGTCCAACAACATGAAAAGTTAGTTTTTAGTCTATTTTATGCAGTAAAGATGAAAGTTTTTATTTATCTCACATTTCTTCTCAATGTTCTCCAGTTTAACAAAATGTGACATTCAAGGATTGACTGTGTGGCCAAAGAAAATCCTACTCCGCTCATGTTCTGGTTGCAAATGACCAAAAATTTTCGCAAGAGTGCAATATTTAAAAAAAAACTTTTATTGATGACCTGTTTGCAGTGTGTACTCTGCAGTTTCAGGTGGCTTTGATTCTTCCTATTGTGTAATCCAGTGGGAAAAGTTTTGATTATTTGTTGGTGTTCATTGAGCTGAAATTCAGGTAAAAGTTTGTTCTTATTGATAAAAGGGACTTTTATTTTTGTAATTACTCAGACCAGTTCAAAAATGGAACCATGACCGAATGACTAAAATCACTTTGAAAATGTGTTTTACTAAAAAGTTTGCCTTTAAAAGAAAAAAATCTTAGTTTTTTTTTTTTGTTTTGTTATTTTTTGTGGAGGGGGGTTGTAAAAAATGAGTCTTTATTGGTAATAAAGATTTTTCAGCCATGTTTTGACAGTTTTTCATTTTTCTCTATCAAACTGTTTAAAATGTCATTTTGTTTCCTTCAAATATTTTAATATACGGCACATAGCAACATAAACTCAATAAAATCTGTTTTTATGGATTAAAAAAAACTTAAGTTTATTCAAACAGGAGTAAACATCTAAAACATCAATATTTTTTCTACATTTACTATAAAAAGTCAGTGTTTTCTAGCAGGATAGTGTCATTTTATAAATGTATTAAATATTTAAACACACACACACACACACAGAGAATGATGCTTCTCAAGCCCAGTATCCGATAATGAAGACCGTTACTGAGAGGCAAATGATGAGGTTAGCGTTTACGAGATGTCGTAACCGTGGCTTTTCATCCAGACTACAGACATTCAGCTCAGGTGGAGATGGACTGTCGTGTCGCTGTTCTTCCCTCTGTCTCTCCATCCCACACAGCCAGTAGAGGACAGACAGAAACCTGGACTGAGTTTGGACACTAGAAATGGACGAGCCTGAAGAGTTCAAGCAGAATGAGATCAGTTAGGTCCATAAATATTTGGACACTGATAAAAGTTTGACTACATTCATCTGTTTACTGTATTAAATTAAAATTACATGTAAACAATGGGCTAGAAGTGCAGAGTCAGACTGAATGACGCATTTAGGGGTTGTTTTGGAATGGGGCCAAAAGGATTTGAACAGGTCACATAAAAGCTGTAGCTGGACCTCATGGTTCTGGCAGGGACACAAGCGGACAGCAGACACCGAAGGAGGCCTGGAGAAATATTTCTGGTATTTCCTTTTAAATTTGGGAGATCCATGTGTTGACATCTGACATGTAGACCCACCCTATGCAGGTGAACCATGCTGTCCTTGGGCTGCAAAAACAAAACAATCTGAGAAACTCCTACATTGGAAATGGCTAAACCCACAGTTTGGTGCATCAACAAAAGCACTGGCGAACTCAGTGATGCAAAAAGGCCTAAATGTCTACTGAAGATAACAGTGTTGGATGATCGATGAGTGGCTTCTTTTGTAACGGGCATATCAATATCCACACCAACCATCAAGAGAAGATGCATGCCACTCACACACCTGTAGAATTGAACTTTGCCATAAAACAGCAGCAGAGTTCTGGATCAGCATTCTTTGGACAAGTGACACCGAGATTAGCCTGTGTCATAATAATGGAAAGACAATAATATGAAGAGGGAGAGACACCTGGTGGTCCTGAGAACACCACACCATGAGTAAAACATGGTGGGGGCAGTGTGATGGTTTGGGCGTGCATGGCTGCATTAGGCCCTGGGTTTGGGTCTAGACCATGTGACACAGGATGGAAAGAATGTTGAAGTGATGCTCAAGCGCTGCCAAAGCTATTGGTTGGTGTTTCATCATACAGATGTAAAATAAACCAAAAGAAACGGCAAAAGCAACCCAGGGTTTTATTAAACCAAAGAAGAAGAGTAATCTTGATTGGCCAAACCTGATCTCAATCCCACTGAGCACATAATACACTAGTAACTCAACAAGGGCAGAAATAACCTGAAACAAACAGCTACTGAATTCTGCTGCTGTAAAAGCCGAGCATGAACCCTAGCATCTGGTCATACACATGGGTTCAGTCAGCCTGCAGCAAGTTTTCAGTTAAGCGTTAGAATTGAACATTTTATTTGCGGTTACATTAATTTGTCCAATTACTGTTGAGCCCCTGAACAAAGGAGGCTGTTTGCAAAAATGACTTTGGTTCCCCGCTGAATTAAAGCTGCTAGTCTGCACCTAAAATGCATCTGTCCGTCTTGAAATGTGTCGTAATGTACTGAACTTAGAACTGAAAAACATTGTCTCTGTCCAAATAAGATGCCCCACCTCCCTTCATGCTGCTGCTCTCGGGCTGTCTCGCCTCGATGCTCTGCTCCACTGGAAACACCTGCTCTTTAGGCTTCACAGGGTCAAACCTCGTAAACCATGTGAGACGACTTATCTGTTGAAGCACACACAGCATGAACACACAGAGGTGCTGCTAACACCCTTTACACTCATTTTAACACATTAGTGACACCTAGTGGGGATGAAAGACCACAGCTCGTAGGTTCACCTGCTCTGGAGTTGGTTCCTCAGTAGCCAGGCTCACTCCAACCACCACAGCCAGGGTGATGAAGGACAGCAGGACGGAGAAGTACAGGTAATGGACGTATTTCAGCACAACAGGCCTGTTGTCCTCCTCATAGCAAGGAGGTGCAGGGTAGATGAAGTCCAGCAGCATGCGTATGCAGCCAACTGTGAGGCCAACAGTCAAGCCCCAGAATGCACCCTGCATGGAAGATAATCCAGCTGCAAGCGCATCACGTCTAATCCAGAAGTAAAAGGTTTGTGTTTCTGTACCTTCTCATTAGTCCTTCTCCAGAAGCAGCCCATGAGGAAGATGATGCTAACGGGCGGCTGCAGGTAGGTGCTGATGGACTGGATGTAGATGAAGAGCTGTCCGCCCTGACTGGCCTGGACAACAGGAATCCACAGCACAGAGACCAACACCAGCACCAGCACAAACACCCTGCAGCGTGCACACCCATGTTAACGCTTTTATTTGAATAAACTCATTAAAGCTTAACAGGACTGTTGTAAAAACTCTGTCAGATCTCAAGTCAGGTGTCTGTGACAGTTCGCAGAAGAACATGTAGAAAAGAGAAAGAAGGCCCTGTGTGGGTGAGTCTGACCAGATTTGTAATTCTAGATGCGGCTCGTACCATCCAGAGTGCATCATTATGATAAACGGCACTGCAAAAAGTTTTATACTGTCAGACTCTTGTAATCTTAGTCCTAATCATTAGTTTTCCTAGCTTTCTGAAGGTCTTCAGCCTTTTTATCCTCCAGTTTCTGTCTACTTCTTGACTTTTTACGGAGTTGTTCAGGTTTAAAACTATTTATAAAGAAGCAGTCCAAGTAGGAAAAAATAGTTGTCTTACAAACGTTTACCTCAAGGTACACGTAAAATCCCCCCAAAACAAATGTCCACTATCCTAAACAGATGCTAGTGGACCTGGAGGACCAGGACTAGAGGACTAGGACTGGAGGACCAGGACTAGAAGACCAGGACTAGAGGACTAGGACTAGAGGACCAGGATTGGAGGACTAGGACTTGAGGACCTGGACTGGATGACCAGGATTAGAGGGCCAGGACTAGGGGACCAGGACTAGAAGGACTAGGACTAGAGGATCAGGACTGGATGACCAGGATTAGAGGGCCAGGACTAGGGGACCAGGACTAGAGGACTAGGACTGGAGGACCAGGAGTAGAGGAGGAGGACTGGGGGACCAGTGCTAGAGGATAGGACTGGGGGACCAGTACTAGAGGACCAGGACTAGGACTAAAGGACCAGGACTAGAGGACTAGGACTGGAGGACCAGGACTAGAGGATTAGGACTAAAGGACCAGGACTAGAGGACCAGGACTAGAGGATAGGACTGGGGGACCAGTAGAGGACCAGGACTAGGCATTTCCTTGCGTTACCATACTTGGCTCATCTGGACTCAGCCTAATATAATTTTTACTTGTGTGTGAGTCTGTGTGTGTGTGTGTGTGTGTGTGTGTGTGTGTGTGTGTGTGTGTGTGTGTGCTTGCATATGTTTGTTAATGTTTTTAACCTGTTATGGGAATCTGGGGTCATTTTGTAAAGCACTTTGAATCACACTTTGTTTGAAAAGCGCTTTAGAAATAAATTTGATTGATTGATTGATTGACCAGGACTAGGACTAAAGGACCAGGACTAGAAGACTAGGACTGGAGGACCAGGACTAGAGGATTAGGACTAAAGGACCGGGACTAGAGGACCAGGAGTAGGGGACTGAGACTAGAGGACCAGGACTAGAGGACCAGGAGTAGGGGACTGAGACTAGAGGACCAGGACTAGAGGACCAGGACTGGAGTAGATGCTGCAGAGCACCACATGTTTCACAAACCTGCCTACAATCATGAGCTCCCATTCAGATGCGTGAGATCTGAAACTCTTCCATAAGTCCATGGTAAAAATGGTGCTGGAGCTGTTGAAGATGGAGGTCAGAGACGACATGAGAGCGGCGATCATCACGGCCATCATCAGACCCCTCAGTCCTGGGAGGAGCGACGAGACTTTTGGAACAAAGTTTGGAGAAAATTGCAGAAAGGAGGCAACAGAAGAGTGTTTTTGTTGATTTTACCTGCAGGTAGCAGCTCCATCACCAGCTTGGCATAGGCGATATCTGAACAGCCAACGGCGTTTCCACAAATCTGTTTGCACAGATCAGGGTCTGCACACGCCACCTCATCTACACCCCACAGTGAAAAGATCACCTGATCACAGATGTATTAAAGACCAGACAATGTGCTCTTGTGTTTTCTGAAAGCAGTCGGCACCTGTGTAGAGAATCCTGCTGATCATACCAGGCAGCATGATGGCAAAGAAAGGCAGAACCTTCAGGTACGCGGCCAGCAGGGAGCCGCCCTTGGCATGGGTCAGAGTCTTTGCAGCCAGAGAGCGCTGCACAATCACCTGCAGAGGATCCAAAGCACGGCTCAGGTTCTTGTCAATGACCAACTCAGATATTCATTCAGAGAGTTTATTTAGTGGGAGTCAGTCAGGACAGAAGCGGTCATTTTATAACCTCCTGTTACCGCCTGACTGATAAGGCAGTAAATGATCAGTAAAGCCGCCGACCGGTCTTGTTTTAAACTGGCAGACAGAATCGGAAATGGAAAATTTCCAAAGAGGAAAATATGCCAAGTTTTCACCATGGATGTTTTTACAGATGAGCTTTAATAAATACGTTTAAGTAAATAAAAGCTGTTTTTACTGTATAAACATAAGCAAACTGCTGGGTGTGCTTCTATTACCCAAGCTGAGTTTACAGTCATATTTTATTCTTCACTTCCATCATAGAAAAAAAAAGTGGCAACAACAGGAAACAATTTAAAGACCCTGATTCTTATTTTTTCAATAATTGTATTCATTATCTGACTAAAAGAACTTAAAATATTTCTGTTTCGTAGGAATTTTTTCACCATTATTCAGAATTATAAATACAATTACCAAAGGCTACTGATACGACCTCCTAGAATCAGAGTGTGGCTTTTGGACGTTTATTTTTCTTACTGATTACATGTTGATAGTCAGTTTTGTCTTTAGATTGAGCACACTACACCTGTTTGAATATGGATTAATCTAAACACATTTTACCAGTAGTGCCCCCAAGGGATGGCCAGGGGTGGCCATCACTGAGGGCTGGGAAAATGGGGGCCACCCCACTGGCCCCCCAGGGGAAGGCCCCCATCCTCTCTTGACACATTCATGTTAACTTTCTTTAATCAAAACATAATTTAAAAAGCCAGTAGATGCATTTATAATTAATGGGAACTGCAGTTCACGTCGCCACCTTGTCAAAATTTATGCAGATGCCTCTAAACCCAAAGAAATCTGTTTGAAGAGGCCACTCTCAACTTGTCAGTGATTTATGAACAGCAGTTTTTCATTCAGAGCATCTGAAGAACACAAGATGGTCCTGAACACTGAAATTTCTTTAGATTCAAGATAAATAAACAAATGAATCCCTTCCAATCTTCTTCAGAAAACTGTACTTTTAAATATTCTAATTTGTTTTTTCTCAATATTTTAGACAAACTGAAGATCTCTGATTCGAACGCATTTCTTATATCGTGTTTTTTTCCGACAATGAGCAGAAGATGATTATCGGAACTCTTTAGTGGATATAAACCAAGTCCCCACAATGCGGCTCAAAAATTGACTCCAACCCGGAAGTGACAAAAATTGCAGTTCCACCCTCATCCGCTGGGGGCTGGTGACAGAAGCGAGCAAATCCTCATTGACTCCCATGTTAAAAATACCAATTTCACAGCAGAAATAAACATGTTTACAGCCTGGTACCAAAACATGTTTTTTGTTTAAATGATCTAGTTTACACTCATGACAACTCTGAGGGGGGTGAATTTTTTCTCACTCTTCTGTTTAAGTGTATTAAAAGCCTAAAATTCGGTATAATTAATGAGCATAAGACCCACGTGACCACAGAGCTAGCTCCGTGGAAAGGCCTCAGTAGAGCCTCGGTCTGGCTTGGAAACTGCTCCGGGATTTGGGGTCTCTGTGTTTGTGTATTCTTTTTTGGATATTTTTAGTGCAATTGTTGGACAAAATGACTTGCTGTGGCATTAATTGCACTAACAGAGCGTCCAAGGAGTCTCCACTTCATTTTTTTCGGTAAGTAAAATTATATTTATGTATTTTAGGTCACTGCCGAGCTGAGCTTAGATTTTAACATGTACTGTTTAACCATGAAACTTAAATGTAATAGGGTAGACCCCAGCGCATTTAACATAATGCTGCACTTTAGAAAATGGGTTGAAATATAACATGTTGGTGGAGCTGGGTTCCGACTATCGGCTTGTGGAGCTCTCGGAAGACCTCTGTTTTCCACCCGTTTCTCCCCTCCCCGCAGCTCGGCGCATCTCTGTCTGATTGCGGCTTCTGACTGCTGCGCGGGCTGTTGGCTTGTGGAGCTCTGGGATGGAAACCTTTCCACCGGGTTCTCCCTAGCGGCAGCTCTGCGCATCTCAGATCGCAGCGGTGCTTGTCTGCTGTGCGGCTGCCAGCTTGTGGAGGTCTCTGAGACCTCTGTGTTCCACCCGGTTTTACCCAGCGGTCAGCCCGGCGTATCTCTGACTCAGAAGCTCTGGTGTAGTGCACAGTTAACTCCGGTTGTAGCTAGGTTGCTACCTCCGTTAGCTTAGCTCCCACCTCCGCATTAGCTTTGGGTTAGCTTCAGGTTAGCTTGTAGCTAGTTCGACCGGGTGTCGTCAAGTTGATCCCAGCCTTACAGCCCCACCCTCAGCTCCACCTCTCTTCCCTTTAGTGGAATTGTCTGGGCTTGACGGGACCTGTGACACGGTCAAAATGGCGGTGGTGGCCACCTCTCATTTTAGCACAAAAACTTATTATTGGAGCTATGGAAACCCATTGTCCAATATTTATATGTCGATGATCTAAACACAGGAATTAATGAACATTAACTAAAAATAAAGTTGTAAACCATTCTATTTTCTGATAATCTGTACAGTTTTCTTTCTTTTATATATATATTTTGCTAAAGTGGAGTTATGGTGAAAAAAGATACCATGTGAGGCGTTCCCACCTGATCAGAGCACCAGTACCACATTGAGGGGATTGACATGCCGATGATAGCACCTGGCCAAGGCAGGTCAGAGTTCACCGGGTCTCTGAATATGTGGAAGGCATCATCGCGAGGGATGCCGCAGGTGGTGTTAGGAACACGGACTGAAGGAATGGCGTTGGCGTATCCCTGCATCAGAGCGTTCCAGCCACCGACTTCAGCAAAACCTGCAAGGGAAGATAAAAATGTCAGATGATCTTCACTGCAGAGGAAGTGGGAGAGGGGTGTGTTCATGTGGTGACTTACTGAAGCCCATGAGAGTAAGAGCTCCTGCCAGCATGATGGCAGTTTGAGCGGCATCGGTGTAGATGACAGCAGCCAGACCACCTGGAACAGACGGCATGCCAGGAATGCTCCTTTATATGTTTTATTCAACCAGGAAGTCCCTTCAGATTCGCTAATTAGATACAAACTGGGACAAAAACAGCCCTAAAGACATCTTTCAGAGGAAGGAGCATTCATGTATGTGCCTGAAGTTCTTTGCTGATTTAATGGAACTAAAGTTTTTTACTAACAGAAAGACAATCATCCACCAAAACACTCCAAGAGGATGTTTATTCATTTATTTTTTTGGATAACTTCTCTCTTGGGAAAATGCTGCCAACATCTGAGCTCTGAGTGGTTTCTAGAAAAACAACAGATTTGATTTTATTCACATTTAGCACCAACTCTACAAGCCACAAGGACACCTGGAGTTGCTCAGAGTTGAAGTGGTGTCATCTGCATGAGCGTGTACTTTAGCTGTAAAAGTGTAGGAGCAGGACTCACACAGGCATCAGATTCCATGTTACCTGCTACGGTGTAGAGACCAGTGACAGACAGCAGCAGCACCAAAGCCAGGTAGATGTTCCACTTTAATGCAAGCTGAATGAAAACTGCACCTGCGTACATGTCAACCTGCACCACACATGCAGAAAAGGGCTCATTTAGTCTAAACACAGCTAACATACACGTGTCTGGACTAAAACATGCAGGAAAACAACCACTAAAGCGCTTCTGCATCATACCGATATCTTGGTAAAGATGTAAATAAACAAGGACAAGACGGCTATGAACAACTGAGTTCTTCTTCCACCGAAGCGCCGCTGCAGGTATTCTGGCATGGTCGTCACCTGCAGCAAAAAGCATATGTGGTGTTAAATAAGCAACAGGTGAACACATGAATGTATGGAAGTGAATAACTCACCCCTGAGGAAATATAAATGGGCAAGAAGAGCCACCCGAGGAGCAGGACCATGAACATTCCCTGGAGTTGAACAACAGCAATGTTTTGTTTTAAAATCAATGATTTTTTTGACACATTTGTATTTAAATAGGTGTGTTTGAGCAGTTCTCTTACATTCCATTCATATGCAATTGCTCCGATTCCTGCTGCAGCCCCAGAACCTGCCAGTCCGATGAAGTGTCCACTGCCGATGTTACTGGCAAACAGAGACGCTCCCACCTGGAAACAGGTCACAGAAGTGGAAACTAACGTTACAGGAGCTTTCTGACAGTGACTGAATTAGTTTACAGCCCTGGAATGATTTTACTTACAAAAGAAAATAAATTTTGATTCATTTGCTGGTTTCAAGAATTCAAGCTAAGCAACTTTTGCTCACCCCACTGGCAGATTTATTTTTTCTCAATACAAGAAACTTTGGATCATGTTTAAGAAAATTTACCTCATTTTAATTAAAGCTATTTTTTCTAGAGACCAAAAATAAGATAAAATATCTAAAATAGGCTTTTTCTTTAAAACCAGTTTTTGTAGTGTTTAAAGGTGTGGGAAACTTGTTTAATCAATACATTTTCAGGGGTCTCTAGTACGAATGAATGCCTTGTAAGTTGTATTCAGGGGGAAAAATTAATCGCTGCACCATTTCCTAGAACTAGTAATGACCCACATCACAGCTGAGCATCAGATGACAGAATTTTGAGCCTTATTTCCTGATATTTGGACATCTCGCCCCGAACTCATAGGCGTCATTTTAACCGGGGACGCCGGGGACATGTCCCCGGCAAAATTTGTGATTGGCAGCTGTGTCCCCCCCCCCCCACTTTCAAACAAGCCTGCTGATGAGGATTTTTGTTTTACCAGCTCAGATCTTATACCAGGGGTCGGCAACCTGTTCCCATCAAAGAGCCATTATTACCCGTTTCCCACAGTAAAGAAAACACTGGGAGCCACAGCAGCGCAGCGTTGTGGGCGGGGCCTACCCTCAGACAGCAGAGAGCTGCTCACAACAGGTGACAGCAGCCAGTACCGGTCGCTCGCATGGGCGTCGCACCCGTGGGGGATTCAACACCCACACTTTTCCAGCTGTTTTGCTCACCTCCACACCAGTCTGGTTTCTTTAGGTCGCACTCACTCTGTTTGCCTCATCTCCTTCTTCACCTCCGCTTCTGACAGCCAATGTCGGGTTCAAGGAGAGCAGGAGAGGGAGGGACGGAAGAGGTTGACTGAATTCATAATTTTACATCTTGAAATTAGCTGTACAAAGTCTGAGTTTGATAACGTGAAGAACAATAATTTGCAGAGGTTTGGGCCACGGTAATTTTGGACGGACCTTAATAAGCAGTGACTTAGTGAAGCAGGCAGGTCACGCTAGAAAATTTTGTTTAAAAAGACGTCATAAATGTGTTCCCCCGTCATTTTTGTTTATAAAATATGAAGTAAAAACTCCCAATTTAATTTTCATTCATTTGTCATTAATATGTAGTCTACACCCGTGCGTTAAGACGACCATCTTCCAGTAAAAGCAAAGCATCCGGCCCACCTCTCCAAATGCGTAAAATGTGCATCACAGCCACTAGGCGCACCGTCAGCTGTCATCCCAGACAAGAGCAGAGCAACTAGAGAAAGAATAGAGGATAATTGTCTGGATGTGGATGGAGATTACATTTTACATCAGTCTGATTATCATTTAAATACATAAACCATCACCTATCTTCTAGTCCATGCTATCAGCATTATTTTAATTGGTGTGTGTGTGTGTGTGTGTGTGTGTGTGTGTGTGTGTGTGTGTGTGTGTGTGTGTGTGTGTGTGTGTGTGTGTGTGTGTGTGTGTGTGTGTGTGTGTGTGTGTGTGTGTGTGTGTGTGTGTGTGTGTGTGTGTGTGTGTGTGTGTGTGTGTGTGTGTGTGTGTGTGTGTGTGTGTGTGTGTGTGTGTGTGTGTGTGTGTGTGTGTGTGTGTGTGTGTGTGTGTGTGTGTGTGTGTGTGTGTGTGTGTGTGTGTGTGTGTGTGTGTTTGTTTTCCACTTCCAACACTGGTCTAACCAATCAGACCAGTGTGTCCAGTAACACATTAATGTTACAATTAAACAGTTTCACTTCATGTAGGCTAGGAACATGTCACCTGCCGTAGCCCGACCGCTTCTGCTCCACATAAACTTTGTGCGTGATCAAATGTCTCTACAGGTGTTTTATGAGCTGAAGAGGCAACTGGATGCATCATGCGTCTCCATATTGGAGACGGGAACAAGCGCAATTCAGCCAAACTTTCATAATTTCATAAAAATAACATTTTCCAAGTGACACATCCCTCAGAGAGACCGGGTTTCCAGACCGCTTCAGTGGGAGGAAATCAACCAACATCCTTGAGTTTATCCGTCAAAATAAACAGTCAAATGGAAATATCTGTAACCTGTCGTTTAACTCTTTTGCCTTCTTGTGAAGATTGTTGCAACGAGAAACAACTAAACTTGATTAACCCCAGAGCCACGCGCACTGCACTGTACTCCATGACTGTAAATGAGGGGAAATGATTTAATCTGATCATTTTCTTTTCAACATGGTTTAATGTAAAGTTTCATTCAGTACAAACTTTAGTCGCACCAATCTAACGAGACAGAGCCTGGATTTGTATTCTGAACAGTTTAAACATGTTTAAAACGGAGACATGCGTGACGCGTCTAAAATTCACACCTGCTCCGCTATTATGGAAATTAAAATAACAAGATGAACATGAAATTATTTTAGGCACAGACAACATCCCCCACACTTTTGAAAAGCTTGCAACGCGCCTGGTCGCTCGTGTACGTCAAAGTTATCTTTCATAAAAAGATAATCAATAAAACGATTAAATAAAGTGGATCCAGAAGCTGTAGCCCGTCTCTGCCTTCAATATTCACCCTGTTGGTGATTTTACTGAGCAGGTGCCACTTTTGTCACGCGATTCTTTTTAAAACATGTTTAGACTATTCAGAATACAAATCCAGGCTCTGTCACGTTTGATTGTTGTAATTAAACTTTGTAGGTGGGGAAGGTCAGAAAGCAGCTCAGAAGCGCCTACGATTACGCACAAGCGTGACGCGTCAACCCGGTCTCACAGACTGGGTTGGACCTGTTCAGGTTTACGCAGACAATCTTTACATTTAGAATTGGCATACAGATGTAAAATTAATGCAGTAAAATATAAAGCATTTTATTTAAATATCCATTCATTATTTTACAAGCACAGAGAGCGCATCAGATGGATGGAGGAGCCGCATGCGGCTCCAGAGCCGCGGGTTGCCGCCCCCTGTGCTAGCCTACTTTATTGTCCCCAGCAATTTTTAAACCCCACTCAAGTGTATGGTTATTGTCCCCAGCAATTCTGAAAACAAACTGACGCCCTTGCCCGAACTGGATAACAGCAATGCGACTCTACCACTGACTTTCAACGTTGATGCTTTATCTCCACAAATAACACAAGCCTGGAAGACCTTCTGCCGTGTGGTGAAGCGGCTAATGCTAATGTTAGCATGCACTAGTCGAGACGTTTTCTGCTGTTTTCTGGACTCTAAAACAATAACAGCCATCTACATCATGAGTCAAGTAGGGTGAGTTCATGACAGGTCGTCCTCTACCTGGATGACCTGTCGACGTGCTGGGAAACACCGTCGTTTATGCACTCTGCTAGGAGGAAACGTAGGAGGAGAGGCTGTCGGGGTGGACGAAAATAGAAAAATGTGTGTAAGGATAGGAAGTTATTCCTCAGAGTACTCTGATCTACTCTGGGGGGCACCACAAGGCTCGATATTGGGACCTCTGTTGTTTTCTGTTTACATTCTGCCCTTAGGTGACATCTGTCGTGAGCTTGGAGTTTAATTCCACCTATATGCTGACGATTGTCAGCTGTACCTGCCTCTGAACACGTCAGGTGGTCTCTCTATTTCTATTCTTACTGTTTGAGGGAGATCAAGACCTGGATGAGTGAAAAATTTCTGAGCCTAAATGATCACAAAACAGAGGCTATATTGTTTGCTCCAAGCATACATTGCGACTCTTCCCTAACTGACTGTAGGTCATTTAATGGCCAGCTGACTACATCGGTGACTAATCTTGGTGTTAAACTGGATAGCGCCCTTAGTTTTGATACCCACATCAATGGAGTGATCTCCTCCTCCTTTTTCCATCTTCGTCAGTTGGCAAAGATCAAACCATTTTTGTCACGTCATGATCTTGAGACGGTGGTCCATGCTTTTATTACGGTGCGATTGGACTACTGCAACTCTGTTCTATTCGGTGTGAGCAAGGGCTCAATAGCCAGGTTGCAAATGGTGCAGAATGCTGCTGCCAGATTTTTAGAGGGCAGGCGCAAGTATGACCACATTGCTCCTGTCCTGGCTGTGCTTCATTGGCTGCCCGTTGATGTAAGGATTCGTTTTAAAATACTCTTATTGGTTTTTAAAATGTTAAGTGGTTTGGCCCCTCCTTACTTGGTGCCACTGCTTCAACCGCACACCCCCGCACGGTCACTCCGCTTGCAGAACCTCATGCTCCTCTCGGTCCCAAGATCGCGCCTAAAGACACATGGTGATAGGGCCTTTGCTGTGGCTGGTCCTAAGCTTTGAACGAGCTTCCTCTCAGCATAAGGGCCTCCACCTCTGTTGCGGTTTTTAAGGCGAGGCTAAAAACCTACTTTTATGATCTGTCTTTTAACCTTTCTAACTAGTTTTTATTGTTTTACTTAAAGCGATTTGTACACTCACTGTATTTTTATCTGTATCTTGTGATACAATGTTTTTATTTTCTGGACTTAATGTTTTATGTTTTTTACTTGATCAGTGGAGCGCCTTCGTGGCATCTTTTTGCCTGTAAGGCGCGAATTACAAATAAAGTTGAGTTGAGTTGAGTCCTGCCGTTTTCGGATCAGAAAAGCCCTATAATGTCAGCGTTTTTACTGTTTTTTTTAAGACACACAATGTTGCGCTCTATGATGATGTCAACGCCAACACTACCAAAACAAAGCGGAGACTCACCTCCTACATCAGGAAGAATCTGCGCGTTTCGAGCGTTATCCGATCTTTAATAATCCATTGTCGAATTGTGATCGGCAGAAGCTTTTCCGGTTCGCGCCTCACTTTTTTTATAGCAGCGGCCCAAAACGATCTCTTAACACATGGATTTTCTGCTTCCTGATCACGTGACGTGTGATGCATGTGGATGAAGATCGGCTTTAGAGCTGGGATGTTTGTTCTCACGGTGCGGGGGCTCGTTCCGACGCCTACACAGTAAAAATATGCAACTGCAGTGAACGGTTGGATTTAAAATGATGACTTTGTTGTCAATGGCAGTTAATGAGTTAAGTGACAGTGTGATGCAGATCTGTCAAGCTTTTCAAATCCTAGATTTTTACCGTCTATTTTCTGTCAGAAGCTAATGCAGGAGATAGGTGTAGGAGACTATTTATGCTCAGCCTGCATGAAAAACTCAGAGTGACCGATTATAATCAGAAATAATCGTTAAAAATGTTGTTTGTTTTAGTGTCCCACACCTTTAAAGTCTTAAAATCTGTATTTCTGGTTGTGTCACTCACTGGCCACCAGGTCATACTCTTTCCAGCCAAGAAGTATCCATCCACAGTGCTGCGCTTCGTCCTCCACATTGACTGGAAAAATTGTGGGAAATGTTAGAAAACCTCTCAAAGCTGCAAATGAAGCAGGAATGTTTCATTGTCATTTACAAAATTGTTCAATAGTGTTTCAGTCAGCCTTCCAGGTCTGTTAGCATTCCTGTTTTAAATAAGGTTCAGTGCTCTGCTGCTTTCTGCTGATTAGAACCTAAAAAACAGTTTGATCATCACATTCCGGACCTTCATCCCTGGAATATCTGAGGACAGAACATCTTGAATTTCAAGTACATTTTACAAATTTTTTTTTATTTTTTTTTATGGCTGCTACAGCTTCTGTTGGGTTTTTGATTTCACCAAGTTGACAACAATCAGCTTGTTTTATAGCAGTAAAACTTCCTCTTCTTGTTTTATTTGAGTGAATAAAATAACTAAATATAACACAGAAACCAGGTCCTGATGATCAAAGTTCTGATACATTATGTGCAATTATTATATTGTTGTTACTATTAAAAATAATATAGTTATAAAGTTGTTATGGTCGCAATAGTAATTCATTTTAATGAAGTTTGTAGGAGAAAAACCTGAAATAAGAGGAATTTTAGCACATTGACATATTCTACAGACAGTGAAGAAGACACTAGTAATCAACACACAACCATTACTGCTCAAGAGCACCTCAGCCAGTGACCCCTGCCAGGCCAGGGAATTGAACCAGTGACTTTTGGGTCTCGGCTGTCCTAAAACATCCTCCCTTCATAACTGTGTATTTAATATATTATATTTATAATATAACTTAAATCTTAGAATGAATTCTTCTAGTCTGTGCAGCAATGAGGGGAAATGGCATTCTGCAACATGTCACATGTAGATGAAGAGGCTACAGATCCCACAAAGGTCTCTCCCTTACCCAGAACCCCACAGCCAGCACCAACAGGAAGTAGATCACCAGCACCACTAAGTCCACGGTGACCAAGGTGCTGCTCCCAGGGGAGGGTGTCTGAGTCAGAGGCAGGCTGGTCATCGTTGCTCCTTTACGGCCGTCTGAAAACCAACACACGACGTCTTATCTGGTACCAAGATGCAAATTCAGGTAAAATCCTCCTCATCTGAACCACAAACAACTGACTTAAATAAACGTTTCCTCACGGATCAAGTGAAATTTAATTAGCATAGACTCTTGATATACTAACGTGATGCATTAACATTAAACACACCTTTCAGTGACTCGTCACCGTGTTGCAATCCCCCTGAGCCGACTCGTCTCTCCCAAACAGCTCACCATGTTACCTGAAGGCAATCCCAGGAAGCTCTTTGTGCTCCGGTCTTCACACCAGGGAGATCAAACTCCACATTCACCCCACGTCTACCGAAGGTTTAGTTAAAATGTAAGAGATTTATGACACCTCACAGGGAGGGAGGGCGGTGTTGAAAGGAAACCTCTCACTTTGTCTGTAAATGTCTAAATAAATGCTGAATGAGGTTTAAAAATTCATCCAAATTCCACAAAGCTCATTTAAATCAACTGGACAGGAATTTGTGTGTGTGTGTGTGTGTGTGTGTGTGTGTGTGTGTGTGTGTGTGTGTGTGTGTGTGTGTGTGTGTGTGTGTGTGTGTGTGTGTGTGTGTGTGTGTGTGTGTGTGAATGCTGTGAGGAACAAGAACATGCAGCACTGACTTATCTGCAGGGAAAAACAGATAAACTGGTTGCAGGTGCGTAATCACATGATAAAAGAGCTGCAGCCTACGTGCTAAAGACGCATTTTTGTAGGATTATTAAAATAATTATAAATAAAAAGGCAAAAACCAACTTAATGCAACCCTTTATATTTGTCAGAATTTGTTACAATAAAAAATGCAGACTTGATGATTCAATGTTACATTCTGTAATTTAAACAAACATATCAGTTTTACATTAAAAATAAAGCTTACAAGAGTCACAGCTTATTATAATAGTTTTACAGACGTATCAGAGAGACTACAGCATGATGTGGTATTATTAAATCTGCTACATGATCATTTTAGAGTTATTGCTGTCCGCTCAGCCCAAACTAAACAATAAAATCTGCTCTAATACAACAAAATGAAAGAAAAAACAGATTTCTCATATGTTCTTTACACTATCCCATTCTGTACAGATGCAACAATATATCTCAGTTACACTTTAATGAGTGCCATATCTACCATTCACATGATAAATGCAGTTCTGCTCACTGGGACATCCAGCCTGCTCATAGCTGGAGCTGGAGTTAAACACATATCAGACTAGAGCACAAATCAGAAAAGTCTGCAAACACAGAAAGAAGGAAACTGTTCTAGTGACTAAAACGGTCTGTTTTCAGGACAGGAGGAGATAACTGGCTCATGTCAACACGCCTTAAACAACCTACGGTACATTCATCGTGGTGGGAGTCCAGGAAAAGTAACAAACAGCTTCCTGTAGTTTTATTCTTTAACCACAAAATGTGCATAAACATGTTTTAGTTAAGGTGTTTATCCGTTTTAACGTTAAATATGTATCTATGTCTCTAAGTTCCACAAATACTTTAATGCATAACCATCGTACCGCACTAAATAGGAATAGAGAAATAAACCTTAAACCATCTGTAAGGATGGACCGAAAATAAAATAAATTGATTTCTGTTGATTGATTTGATACTATAATCATACAGCTGAGACATAAAACACAGAAATAGACCTAAAGTTTACACCTTTAACATCATTTTTCTGTTCATGGAAAACCTCAAGAATACCAAGTGCTTGAATCGGGGTAAAGTGAACTGGATGACTGAGAATCGACACCAACATGTAGCTTATTTGTCAGGTATTGCACCTAAAATGCATATTTGTGTGTGTGTGTGTGTGTGTGTGTGTGTGCGTGCGTGCGTGCGTGCGTGCGTGTGTGCGTGTGTGTTACCAAGCCAGAGGTGATGCCATACGTGGACTCCTAGGACTCTTTGGGTTTTCCGTGCTGTGTTGATCACTGAGAGCTCTCTGCAGCAACAAAACAAGCTAATGTGTTGTTTTCACCACATCTTTTATTTGTTCAGTGCAGTGGTAGACCTGCTGAGGCTAGACCGACTACTTTTCCTACTGCCACCTACAGTGTGTCTAGATTTTGAGGCCAGCCTTTTGCTGCTGCTCCTGATTTTTGCATTTATAAATAACCAGAGTTTAACCCTCTCAGGCTCAAAATCAGTTTTGATAAAAGGACGAACAACTAAGTCCTTCAGGGTTCTTCTGAGTTAAAACATGCTCATGAAATACGTACGTGGAGTAACCAGGTAGGTAGGTTTTAACGTTGCAAATCTGCAACGCCTGCCTCCAGAGGGTTAAAGTCAACATTTAGTTGCTATGAGAGCAACAATCTTTGGTCTCGGTTGTGTTCGGATCAGCTTTTAGCTTCTCTGTCCTGAAGAACATAAAACATTTCTCTAAACTGAGGCCATTAAGGAAACTAAAACTTTTTACATACAAACACACTTTAAAATGGCCACAAAATCCCTTTAATCATTGAAAAAATGCATGCGTTTACCTCAAACTTGTTGATGAACTCAGCAAAGATACCAAAGAAAGCCTCGGTGGTCGTGGCCTTGTCGTCCTCTCCAAAGTACGAGGCAGTTTTGCTGAATTCTTCCATGGCTCTCTGTTGGAGCGACTCCAGCGACTGGAGGGCTGGATGACTGTTTTCCAGGAAGTTCTGAGCACAAAAAGTCAAGAGACTAAAGTGTCTTCTCTCTAACTGTTTCAGGTTTGTTTTTAAGGATACACTCATGACGACAGCAAAGTGATCCTCGGCTGTCACGGGCATCTTTTGACAAGCAGAGCGAATTTCCTGGATAGTTGTGTGGATGTCATTCACATCCGATGTGATGGTCTTCTGGTTCACTAGAGAATTAAGACCAGAGACACAGGAGAAGGAGGTTACAACCTAGAAAAAGATGTGGCACACATGAAAACAACAATAAAGTGATACATTTACTAAAATGTGATGGGGGAAAAAAATCCTATTTCATGTATTTTTTCTCACCTTTTGCTGCCAGAGGGACCATGGTTAGATCTTTGGAGAAATCCAACACGTCTGGAAAATGCTGACACAACGATTTGACCAGAATATGGAGGAACGTGGACTTCCCATCAACCGTTCTAGTTGAGCTCAGCTGAAGTAGAAAAATCGACTGCTTTTTATTCACAAGCCCAAAACAAGGTGTTATTTTTTAATATATAAATGTTTAAGTTGAACGTCCAGGACCTCTGTCAGGAAGTTGATTTTGAATCCCGTTGTTTTGTTGGTTTTAGGTTGGCTGTTGTTCAGGTAGTTTCCCATCGCCAACACAAACTAGAAAAAAACACAAGAACTAGACAGACTACCACAAATGTGCAGAAACCAAAACAAACAGCAGCAGCAGATTACCTCCAGTATCTTAGCTAGCTTCCTGCTGGCTTTCAGCTCGATGGAGGCTTTAATGAGACAGTCGTGTGCTCCCTTCAGCTCCTCTGTCTTCTCCTGCAGGGAACACTTGAAGAGGAGGCTCTGCAGACGGGTCTGGTACTCTGGTACCGATAACATCTGCCAGACAATAAAACAGACCTCGCATCGCAGACATAATGAATCAAACCCACAGAACCTGCCCCTCTCTCTACCTGCAGCACAAACTGGTCCGGTTCACTGAGCTTGCCGGGGTCATCTCGGTACTCCTCGTACTTTTTCACCTCCTCTGCATCAGGTGCGTACAGCAGCAGCTGCCTGATGTGAGACGGTTCCAGTCTGTCGGAGGCCATGCTCATCAGGATCTGACGCAGCTCGCGGGGAGAAAGCTTCAGGTGGGCAATCAGGATGGCTGGAAAACATAAACACAATAAAACCAGTTTGATTTGGTTTTATTACAACTGACAGTTTAGAAATGACAACAATATATGTGATGTATACTTACAGGCATTGTAAGCCTTCTTATGGGACAGGATTTCTATGACGTCTTTCTTCTTGAAAGTCTCTTGCTGGAGCGACGGCTCTGGAGCAGGCACTAAAAATGTTGGTCAACATGATAAATGGCACACAGGTGTGTGTGTGTGTGTGTGTGTGTGTGTGCAACTGATCAAACAAAACCAGATGCATTTCGTTGGTTTAGTTTTTAATGTTATCCACTTCATTCATTTAATAACATATTTGTTATCACTTTAAGGCCACACCTGTGGAATAATCTGAATAACATAATATTTGATAAATATGAGTGTGACATAGATTAAACCAGAATTTTTTTATGACTTCTGAGTTTTACTTACATGTTAAGCAGCACTGCACACGTGTACATTTACATGTACTCACATGAGCCCTTCTGGGTCCCAAAGTGGAGCTCCAGATCCAAATACTTCACCATGTCGTGCAGCTTATCATAGTCAGAATTTTCTCCCAACTAAATGAGACATACAGCAAATACATAAATCACATGAAATAATAATAATAGTAATAATAATAATAATAATCCTGATCAAGATGATACTGATGATGACAATATTGATAATGATATTGATGATATAGCTGATGATGATGATGATACTGATTTTATTGATAATTGTTACGACCCAGCTCATGGGATCGCAACATTAGGAGGATGTTTGGACACATGGGGGGGGGGGATATATATATACATATATATATATATATATAAGTATTTTTCACTTTAAAATCAGCCTTCAAAAGGCCTCACCAACTGCCGCACAGGCAGGCGCTATCAAGGAGAACTCTCTGATCAGTCTCATCTACTTTGGAGTTGCACTAAACAGCCTTTTATGCTGCACCGAGCTCCGATACCCAGAGGTCCACGCCACCAGCAGTCTGTCCGTACCTACCTCTTGACCCCCTGGATCGAACGAGGACCATTATACAACGGTTTGTAGACTCTGCACACTGGCGTCAGATTTTATTAATTTTTTTTATAATTCATAGCTTGTTAAACCATTGAGTCTACAAACATTTGTAATGTCTGAGATTTTACAACCCAGACATTACAAATTTCTCAGATACTTGATTAGGTTTTGCTACTTCCAACTTTCAGTTCTTTTTAAAACACAGAAAAGGTTTAATAACCTGCAACGTTTCATTTGCGGCTGCAAACACCATCAGGCTGACGCCGATGGTGGTGTCACTTCCTTCGTTTATCCGCAACGAAGCAACATTAAGTTCACATATGAGTCAGAAACAGAAGGCAGTATAGCATTTATGGACATGAAAATAACCAGGCAGACCGACGGGATCCTAAACATAAACACATATAGGAAACCAACACACACAGACCAATATTTATTATGGACATCAGAACACCCCACCATACACAAAATGTCAGTAATCAGAACATTATATCACAGAGCAAACATGATAACAGAAGAAAAAGACCGTAAACAAGAGGACAAACACATACAACACGCTTTAAAGACCTGCGGATACCCGACATGGGCAATAAACAAAGGAAAACAACAAACAACAACAGAAAGAAAAAAACAACCAAAGCAAAGAACCAGAAAGTTCAGCCGTAACAGATCACTGCACAAGAGAAAACCATATAATGGACTGGGACAACACAAGGATCATAAACACCGAACAACAGAAATACAAAAGATGGATAAAAGAAGCTATAGAGATAAGGAGGCGTGGATGTGGGACCATGAACAGGGACGATGGAGTTTACTCGTTGGATTGTGCATGAGACTGCATCGTCGGAGAGGGGAGAGCGGGCAGCAGAGGGCGACAACCAGAGCCGGATTAACGCAAAGGCAAAGTAGGCACGTGCCTAGGGCCTGATTGGCTGGATGGGGCCCAGACAGAGGGACAAAATTAAAAAGAAAATAAATCAAAAGTAAAATGTACAAATGTCCTATGATAGAATTTGTAGATAGGACTCCTATCAACAGTTTATTTCAATATTTATTAATTAACTAAAAATAGTGACAATATTTATCTTAACCATAGGCTGTTACATTAGCTAAGTCACATTAACCCCAGCCCATGACTGTAGCCTACAACTTGGGCGCCACCCAATTAAGGACGTCAGAGAAGCGGTCAGAGTCAGAGCGGGACACAACAAAGCTAGCAGGTGTTTTTGAGTAGGCTAACTTTCACAATGCTTTCGGGTGCGGCAAAACGTAAAAAGAAAAAAAAATGAAGAGGAACAAAAGAAGAGACAGAAGTTTCTGTCGGGCTGCTCGGGCAGCCGTCCGACAGCTGTGAACCTGCTCGAGTCAGCAGAGCCAGACGCCGAGCCAGACCCGGAGGAGACACGACCCGAAGACGCGGTGGAAGATGCAGCGGGAAATGCGGCGGAAGACGCTGTAGCGCCAACGCCGTCAACACCAACGCCTTCACAGAAGGACGAACTGGAAGAACAGCAGCCAGCCAGAAGTGAGCCTCTAGACCCAGAAGGGGTGTTAACAAGCTACATCTGATCCTGCAAAGTGGTATCAAATTGATGACAGGATGCGTGAGTACTTTGCACTAAACCATCCCTCTCAAAATATTGGATATTCCTCTGCATCACAGAGGAAATGTGGAGACATAAACCGAAGCTTAACCAAGGAACATTTCTTCAGACGTGTTTCTGCTGTGACTGAGGCCCTGTGATGCTGGAAGGCTGAAGATTATCCCAGAGTGGAGCACGCTAAATGGTTTCCTTGGTAAGTGTTGCTGGTTTTATTAATGTTATTTTTTTTAATATTTTTATTAATGTCCGAATAGCATAACAAACAATAAGTTCACACTCAGAAAATTCACACAGAATTTCTGATTCAGCAGAGGCAATAACAGCCTGAATGAGTATAAAGCAAGATCAAAACTTAAGATAACGTTTTCATTTTATTAAAATACTTTCTTTTAAGATTATAGATTGTATTAAATTTATACTATAATAATTTAAGCTGCGTGTTTATAGTTAGTTTTTGCGACTTTAAACATGCTTCAGTCCATTAAGATTCATCTATTTCTTCTTGAATGTCTTTCCACTATCATGTGATTAATTTGTCAACATTTATAAATGTTGTAAGCTATTGTATTTAGCAGAAAATCTTTTTAATTAAATGTGTTGATTAAATGTAAACAGAGCAAATAAGATAAACATATTTGCTCTGTTTACATAGTTTAACGACGCCTAGTGGTTATTTACTGGTACTACCGCCTTGACATTGACACTCCCAATCGATAAGATGAGGATAATTTATTAGCATTTAATACAGCTGTGTAATGACGTATAAATTATTAATGTAAAAAAAATTGTCTGATAGAATGTTCAACACACAACACATGACTTATTTTGGCATACAAGCAACCAATTTGTAACCAAAGATTAGGTTATGTAAAATGTGAACGAACTTTTATAAGTAACTTTGGTAAGTTTCAGATTTCAACTCATTAAATAACATTGGGGGGGGGGGGGCTAAAAATGCAGCCTGCCTAGTGTAGTCCATTTATTCAATCCGGCTCTGGCGACAACGTCCTCTGCTGCCCGCGGATAAACGAAGGAAGTGACGATTATGTTTGCAGCTGCAAACGTTACGTTGCCGGTAAATAAACCTTTTCTGTGTTTTAAAAAGAACTGAAAGATGGAATTTGAAACTCAACACAACACTCAAATCTGAGTGTGCGATACGCCACATTATTCCCGTAAAAGCTAACGACTGAATTCTAGCTTAAAATACGTAAATTCCGTGAGCACGCATTTTACTGGCAAAGAAAGATGAGAGCCGCGGTACCAATAAAGGAATTCCATCTAGCCATGTTTTTTTTTTATTTCATTCATTTAAAACAGGTTTACCCGAACAGCTGACGTTAGCCTCTGACGTCACCCACCCACGGAGACAAAATTTCTTAATTCAAAAACGCCTTTGTCTACCTACCATTGCAGCGCCAGACTGCGGACTAAATCAAAATCCCTTCGGGGTAAAGTTCTGGCGAATCAAACCACCGTGTGTGAAACCATCAATTTTGGAAGGTCCGGTTCTCCTCCGTGCAACCAAAAACCGCCATCTTGCTCCGTCGTCTTCACAAAGAAGGCACCTCTTGGCGTCTTCAACACTCTGTGTGTGGCATTGATGATGACGTTGATGATGATATTAATGATGATATTAATGTTGATGAAGATGATGATGATTTCTCCTTTAAATGGAACTTTTTCTCATTTATAAATCATTTTCTTGAGCCAGTATGTTCTAAAATGACCCTTTACAGGGTTGATGAAACTTCACTCAGACCCAACTGCCCTCTGTGACCAGATTACTGCAATTGCAACTTCAGAGTTGCCGGTCAGATCTATGTTGGTGGAGGAAGCTCTGGAGTGGAGTGAAGCTGACATGGTGGAGCTGGAGACTGCTTCCAGCACGTTTCCTGCATGTTTTACATCATGAACACAGCTGATTTGTTTGATTTAATGATGAATCATTCTTCTAGAAACTAATGAAGGTTGAAGAGACAATTCAGCTGTTAGATTAAGGTGTAAAAAAAGACAAACGCCCAGCCGGAAGATAAGTTTCACTTTTGGTTTGACCACGGTAAACAAAAAACTTATTACATCATTGACTCCATTAAAATCTGTAGATTTGTATCAACCTTCTCGTGTCGGTGCTCCACACAACTCACCTGTCCCCATATAGTCCCCTCTGAGTTCTCCACCTGTTCCCAGCGAAGCCTCTTCACACTCATGTGATGGGAGTCCATCCTGGACAGGGTAGGTCTTGGCAGTGGAGGTGGTGAGCAAGGGGGTGGTAGGGGCGGGGGTGGAGGAGGCTCCAGATGCTCTGTGGGGTCTGAGATGGAGTGAGAAAGGGGTTGGGGCTGACTCTGGGTTTGGGACTGTTTGTGGTGAGGCTGTGACTGTGGTGGTTGCTGGGTCTGTAGGAGGTGGTGTGAGGGCTGTGACTGTGGACGAGCTGTTTGGGTGGAGGACTGGACCTGCTGCTGTGAGTGGTGGTGTTGGGGCAGAGGCTGGAAGCTGGAGAGGGGGGGCTGGAGGGGCTGAAAAGTTGTAAGAAGTGGCTGGGGCCTGTGAGGCTGCTGAGGAGGATGGATGACATGAATCTGGTGCTGGTAGTCCTGGGGAGGGGGCTGTGGGATCATGTGGTGGATGTGGTGGATATGAGGAGTACTGGAATGATGGTGGGTCTGCTGGATGGAGTGTGGTCTCTGAGGAGACGGTTTGGTGGCTTGTGGGTGGTGCATCTGTTGGATTTGCTGGTCTTTGTGTCTTCCTTGCAGCGACATGTCCGTCTGATGATGACCTTTAAGACTCTTCCGACTCTGATGGGTTTGGCTGTCACGGGTAATCTGAGTTGGCAGGGAGGTGGGTTCATGCTGAACCTCGTGCAGAAGTTCAGAGGAGGAGTGATGTGGCTTGGGTTGGTGCATCTGGTGGGCTTGATGGAGAAGCTCTGTAGATGAATGATGGGGTTTGGGTTGATAGATCTGATGGAGCAGCTCACTTGATGAGTGGTGGGGCTGTCCTCGATGCATCTGCTGAGTTTGATGGAGACGTTCTGCTGAGGAGTGGTGAGGCTGCATTTGATGAGATTGGTGTAAGAGCTCTGTCGAGGAGTGGTGGGCTTTGGCTTTGTGTATTTGATGGAGCATCTCTGATGAGGAAAACTGGGTGTGGGCTTGCTGCATCTGCTGGAGCACCTCAGCAGATGAGTGATGTGCTGGAGCTTGGTGCATCTGGTGGAGCATCTCTGTGGAGGAATGATGGGGTTGGGTTCTTATGCCCTGATGACTTTGGTAGATGCCCTCTGGGTACTGACCTTGTTGGCTGGAATGGATTGGTTGCTGTGGTGATGGCTGATGTGGGGGAGGAGCTGAACGAGACAAGCGTCTGTGGTGAAGACTCTGGCGCGTCTGCTGCTGCTGCTGCTGGGCTTGTCGCACCAAATAAAATGGGTGGCTGGCGTTTGGATGGGTGGGGTCTGGGGAAGGAAAGGTAGGTAAGGACTGGTGAGGCTGTTGAAGGGGCAGAGGAGAATGGGATTTCTGCTGTGTTGGTTGAACAGGCATCGACTGGTGGCTCTGGTAGATCTGCTGCATCTGTTGCTCCTGGTATGCTTGTTGCTCCTCGTAGGCTTGACGCTCCTCAAAAGCTCTACGCTCCTTGTAGGCTTTCTGTTCCTGGTAGGCTTGAAGCTCTTGAAAGGCTTTCTGCTCATTGTAGGCTTGATGCTGCTCATGTGCTTTTTGTTCCTGGTAGACTTGCTGCTCTTGGTACATTTGTTGCTCCTCAAAAGCCTTTTGCACTTCGTAAACTTTCTGCTCCTCATAAGCTTGTCTCTCTTTGTAAAGCTTTTCCTTGCAAGCCTGTTGTTCTTGTTGATCCTGGAAAAGTTGCTGTTCCTCAAAGGCTTTTTGCTCTTCGTACGCCCGCCTCTCTTTGTACGCTTGCTGCTCCTCGAATGCTTGTCTTTCCTGGTAAGCTTGTTGTTGGTATGCTTTGAGCTCCTGTATGGTAGCATGCACCTGCAGATCATCTCTTGTTGGAAGGACTTTATGTAAGGAGTGGCGTTTTGGTGGTGGATTACTGCGTGGAGGAGGAGGTGGAGGAGGACCAGATTTCCTACGGATGGGCAGGTATCCTCTTAACTGCTCAGGAGCAAGGCTAAGTAATTCCTGCTGTTGTTGGTGCTGAGGTTGACTCTGTGCAGGTGGAGGTGGGGGAGGAGGTGGGTCATTGAACTGAACAGGTGGGGGTGGCGGAGGTGACATAGGTGGTGGAGGAATGTGATCAGAGGAAGAAGAATACGTGAGGGAGGAGGCATTCTCTTCTCCGCTGCTGCTTTGGACATCACTTGGGCTGCTTAGCTCTGGTGCCACAAATCCTCCATTCTCATCTTCATCCACCGCAAGCTCATCGTCATTGTCCTCCTCATCCTCATCTGGGTAGCCCATCTGCACAACATCCTGACATTAACACCAATTACACTTCATTAGACCATTAATGTCAAGGTGGAACTGGACAAAATGCACTAAAGAGATTTTCAAACATCTATGTTTATGTTTATGTTTATGTGCTTAGCAGACGCTTTTCGACTTACAATTTTTTTTTAACCTATACGGCATGTTGTGATCTGTGGGGGAAACCGGAGTACCCGGAGAAAACCCACGCATGCATGGGGAGAACACGCAACTCCACGCAGAAAGGCCGCAGCCGAGTTTCGAACCTGCGACCTTCGTGTTGCAAGGCAACAATGCTAACCACTGCGCCACCATGCAGCCAAGTAAGTACCATTCTTACTTGTAGATGCAGTACCATGCATCTACAAGAAAGAAGGAAAATCCCGGTTCGTAGCAGTGGCATGTGATGGAGTATTTTAATTGTACAGTGTACTCAATTCATGATGCAGAAAATTCAAATCAAACATTGCCAATACAATAATTATACTAACTCTGTCAAATTTACAAATATTGAGCTAAAGTTTGGTGTTGTCACCCACAACTCCTACTTTGAGATAGCTCATAATGCTATTATTAAAGCTTGACAAAAACGGCCTCATCTACATCATGTTTCAACATACACGACAGAAAATAATTGTTTAAAACTCAGAAATCAAAAGCAGCTGGCAGTTTGCATTCTTTCAAGAGCTGCTAATCATGTTTTCTTTAATGGCTGTGAGGCCTTCCACTTCAGACATTTTTCCTGAAAAGATGCTGATGTAAACATACCTCTTCATAATCATTCTCAGGGGTCAGGAAGTCGTCCACTAGTGCCATTTTCTGTCCCAGCTGCTCACTCAAGGCATCCAAAAAGCGATCTGTGTCTTCTGAACGAGGAGGTTTGGAGAAGGTGTAGCGCCGCTTGTTGTTGCGGTAGACAGGTGGGCTGGAGGGGAAATCTGGTTCTGGAGGTGAGGGAGGGGGACTGTCCAGGCTGATGTAGGGGTTAGACTCCCCGCTGGTTTGGCTCGTCAGCCCTGGTGGGTAGAACTGGGATGCAGGTGGACTGGGCAGAGGATCTGGCCAGGATGAATGGGGTGAAGGGCCTTTATGACTACCTGAGACAAAAAAATAGCCACGTTGAGATAAATACTGAGAAATACATTTCTGCTTATTTAGTCATGTAGCCTGCAGAACTTGACTAAAGGTGGTTTTCCAGGAATGCTACTCAGCCTAAAATAGCTCTGTACAGCGTGGTTTGAATCAGCCCATCTGAGTGTAGTTTTGTTCCCATGCCAGCTCCATGACAGAAAGTGGGTGCGCCTCTCACAGGTGCGAGGGGTGGGGTGTGCGATTTGTACTCATGACAAAATAACATGAGGTGATCAGTAAACAGTGTAGGGTAACTTGTATGCTCCACCGAAACATAACTCAGCTGAAAAATGTTGGTGTCGCTGGACATTTAGTTCAGTTATATGGCTTCTTGTCAGACTCTGAACAAGGAAATGGCTGCAGGCTGTGAAAGAGGTGGCAAAAAAACTCTGGAGCAACCAGTTCAATTCAATTCAAGTTTATTTATATAGCGCCAAATCACGACAAGAGTCATCTCAAGGCACTTCACATAATAAACATTCCAATACATGTCAGTTCATTAAGCCAATCAGAAAAAAGTTTCCTATATAAGGAACCCAGCAAATTGCAACTTGAGACAGTTCTCCACACCTTCATCTCCTCACGCTTAGACTACTGTAACTCTCTTTTCACGTGTCTGAGCAGAACCTCCCTGAACCGTCTGCAGGTGGTTCAGAACGCCTGTGCTCGGCTTCTGACCAAGTCCTCCAAACACACCCACATCACACCGCTCCTCCTTCAGCTTCACTGGCTGCCAGTCAACTTCAGGGTTCATTTCAAGATCCTGGTTCTGGTCTATAGGGCCTTACATGGACAAGCACCATCTTACATTGGTGATCTTCTTCGTCCCTACACCCCCAGCAGGTCCCTGAGGTCCAGTGATCAAAGCCTACTGGTTGTGCAGCTCCAGGCTAAAGACCAAAGGTGACAGATCATTTGCTGCTGTGGCCCCCAGACTCTGGAACTCTCTCCCCCTGAGCCTGAGATCAGTGGCTCAGTGGTCTCCTTTAAAAAGCAGCTGAAAACACGCTTGTTCAAGCTGGCTTTGGTATGACCTTCATCACCCTCTCCCTATTCTGCTCTCCCCACCTATTCCACCTTCTTCAGGATCCACTGATGTCCCTCTTTCCTGTTCACTCTCTCTCTTCCTTTACATTTTTAATCACAATTGTCTATTTTTTGCTCATTGAAAATATATTTTTAATCATTTTCTAAATTATTTTTAATATTATTACATTTTTGTTTTTGTGAAGCGCCTCGTGATTTTTATCGTGAGAGGTGCTATAGAAATTATCTTTTCTTCTTCAAATTCAAACATACTTAAACCCAGAGGGAAATTAGAGTTTCAGTACACACAATTCTGAGATCAGACATACATACACAGACACATGACAAGAATTGGTTCCTGTGGTCATTCGCAACCCGAGTTACGCTACCGTAATAGATCAAGAGGGTTTATGTAAGGATAGAGTCAGGGGGAGGGGAAAAAGGCACTTCAGAGTTACCCTCAACAGAGCGGGCAGCTTTGCTATGCAAAAAAACACCTCAGACAGATATGCACACAGACTTCAGACATCACACAACATAAGTGTCCACTAGGTGGAGAGGTAGGGTTGGGACTCTCCTCACTTCAGTGCCTGTAGCCGCATGGAGCAGTGCTCATCACCTCCGTTTGGACAGGGAGGGAGATAATGGGTTTGAGAGCACAGTGACTCCTAGATACGGTTCCACAGCCTTCACCAGTCACAGGCCCGCCCAGGCTGTGATAGGGAGAAAGAGTTTCCATAGCGATGACAGCATTCCACATTTCTTCTGAGGGGGGGAGTTATAACTTCAGCCTCACAGGCTCCAAGGTCACCAGATTCAGATAAGAATTGTTTTGGGGACAGACAGAGATAATTTCCTCTCTGCCTTAGAGTTCTGTTGGTCTTCAACCCCTCTAGATCCAATAATGGCGTAATTAATCAATCCCAATCCGTGCTGATCCGTCCACTCGCTCCTTGATGGAATCCACCTTCTGTGCCAGAGTCTGAATCTCAGCCAAATTATTTGAGTTTGTGCGTTCACAGCGCGATGCATTCCATCCCTGAGCTTCGGGATTGAGCCAATATTCCTCGACAGCTCATTAATTTTCCAGGAAGCCAGGTAACCGCTCAAGCCAAACAGCAGGAATCCCGACACCAAAACGATGAATATCCAAACATCTTCAGAATCCTCTACAGACAGTTGAGAGAGGCACATCAGGTTCCACAGTTTCCAGGAGTCCATGATATACCCAGCTGGCTCTGTCCCAGCGGGGCATCCGGGAGCCCCTTCTCCCGTTCTCATCATTGAAAAAATGTTGTCAATCGCGTAGAGAGACCAACTGACCAGATCCATTTTTAATTATTCCCATTTTCCATAAAAAATGCAGAAAGCACCGTGCACACAAGACAGGACAAAGAGCCTTGGGATGAGGAGGGAGGGAAAGGAGAAAAAAAAAGCGTCTGTACTCTCCAAGAGCCGGAAGAAAAAAAAAGGCCTGACTAGTGTCAGTGTCTTTACAGCAATCCTCATACTAGGCAAACATGCAGTGACAGTGGAGAGGAAAACTCCCTTTTAGTAGGAAGAAACCTCCAGAGGACAGAGGATCCAGGCTCAGTATAAGCAGCCATCCACCATGAATCACTGGTTATTGAGAAGACAGCAGACACACACACACACACACACACACACACACACACACACACACACACACACACACACACAAACACACACACACGAACACACGAACACACACACACACACACACACACACACACACACACAACATATATACCAAGTAGCGTTTCTATGGTTACATTGTGATTTCTTAGTAAATATTCTATTTGGTGAGAGATAAACTTTATTGTATTTATTCTAGTGAATCTATAATTAAACGGGTAAACTAGTAGTAGCACATTCAATGTCAAAGAAAGTAAAATGTTGTAATCAGAAGAGGGAGAATGTTTAAGTGGTTAGCAACAGTGTGCTAGCCGATGGCCCCCTCCATGTGGTTACCACAGCTCAGCAGAACATTATTGTAGCTTCTTCTGGAGAGAAAAACACTTAGAAAAATAATTCACGGCTGAAATAGCAGGAAATAATACAGTTAAAGAGCAGATTGTAGAAGAAAGTAGTAGAGTGTGGAAAGTGGTCAGTATGTCCTCCAGCAGTCTAGGCCTATAGCTGCATAACTACAGAGATAACTCTGGATAACCTAGCCTTTTAGATGGAGGCATGTTGGAGGCAGGGCAAGGGAGAACCATCTTTACTGACTGTACACTCCACCTCCCTCTACTCCCCCACTTGTCCAGATCTAGGCTAACATCAGATTTTAACAATAGACCCTTTCACATAAAAATGTTGTAAGCCTAGTCTTAAAAGTAGACAAGGTGTCTGCCTCATGGACTAAAGCTGGGAGCTGGTTCCACAAGAGAGGAGCCTGATAGCTAAAAGATCGAGAGGGTGCTCGCTGCAGAACCACAAAGGCGGAGCTGCATCATAAGGTGGAGCTGCACCAGAGTCAGCCCCGCCCATTCACGCAAACTCAGTCTAGCCCACTGACTTCCGTTTTTGTTTTCAACTTTATCGCAAACTGACCTGACCCACATGAATTACGGCTATTACTAGTTTACAGTCGTTAATGCTATGTTCTATGCTCCAATTAAACAAGATAAATATAACTTGCTACATGACAAAGACTGAATATATCTCGAAATGAAAAGGCTTTTCTCAGCGAATATCTGCCCACAGCCGGTCTAACAGAAATGGTGTATAACAGCATTTCAAACTTTTGAACAGGCCTTGGTAGTCTAGTGGCGAGAGCGTGTGAGTTAAGATTTGCTCTCCCCTCAGCTGATGCTGGTTCGATTCTTGGTGGGGTCGTCAGCAATCTATTTAGCCAGCTGAAACATTTAATTTGTTTATATTTTAGTTGTAATGTTTATTTTCAGCAAAATATTTATGTCTGTAAAAGTTCTTTGAATTTGGTCGTTCCTAAACAGCATTTTAGTTGAAACTCTGCTCACAAATGGACTCACACTGGCTAAATAAACGAATAAATAAATTAAAAAAACACATTAGTCATTATATGTTAAACTGTATACCAGTAAATTGTTGTAAACATAGTACTGGCAAGTGTAGCTAGAAATGAAGAAAAGAGGTTGTACACTACCTAAAACTTACAGTAATGGGAGGCGAACCTGCGCAAAACTGCATGTTAGCCTGACTCCATAACCACTACACCACCACATCTGTTATAACTCATGCGGCGTTACATCTAATTGTGCTGCCCAGTGTGTCTCTGAGATGGGTTGTATGGTTTTTCGGCGGTGTCTCAGTAGAAGTCATTTCAGAAATAATTTGTCAGAAAATTCACAGAATATCCAGATTTGAGAACCAAGACCAGACCCGCTTCGGGGGAGGAGACCAAATTGAAGCTGAGATGGGAGGAAAATGCATGAATGAGGCTAAAAATTGCTTTGGCATGTTTCTTATGAGGAAATGACAATATAACATGATTAAAAGTTCCAAAAGTTAGATTTTCAATTATATGGAACCTTTACAAAAACTGTTCAATTAACTTCTCAACTCCATCCTCAATCTTGCATTTTTTAGCTATAACACCCTCTTTGGTTCCAGAATGCTATCAAGTCTGACAACTGGAAGGAATTGGACTGACTCTGATGGAATGGGCAGGGCTGATTCTGGAATGGGCGGGGCTGACTCTGGTGCAGCTCCACCTTCTGGTGCAGCTCCGCCTTTGTGGTTCTGCAGCGAGCACCACTTGAAAAGATCTGCCTCCTATCCTATTTTTAGATAATCTGGAAACCGTCAGTAAGCCAGTGACTCTGCCCCCTAGCCAATCAGCGACCAGAATCATGATGCAGGCCCGACTCAGCCTTGCCAGGTACCTCAACGGAGCAGGGACTAAAAATAGGGAAGAAAGTAGACGGAAAATACGGACCCATGCCCTTGGAAACAGTGGTCGGGCTGAGCTGCATCGGTCACAGTTGCTCTGAGTAACGTTCCTGTAAAACCACCTTAAATTGGCTCTCTAGTTGTAATCGCTTTAGATGAAGTTTGCTGAGGAACCAAACTACTTATTTTTGAAATATGATCGTCAATCAGAGTTCCACGTGCATTCTGAACATGAAAATCATATTCTACCCCTATTTCCTGCATTAGCCGCAGAAAGAACATGGACGAGGACCCACTCGGGTCAGGGAAGGCCACACAGCTCTACGTCACACTGGAATTTAGCATTTATGGACTTACCCATCTTGTTTCGCGATCACGAAAGTCTATATTGCAACGAGGAGAGAGCAGAGCATGTCTCAGCAAGTAGAAGCTAACCATTAGCATTAGAAACTCCACAATATGGTGGAACACGCTGGTACTTTTGCCATTTGTGGAGATAACACATCAATTTTGCATTTTTTACCCAAGAAAGAAGAGCAAATGGAGGTAGCGGAAGTGTCTCATTACTTCTACTTCCTAAAACAGGAGTGCCAGAGTTTGTTTTTTCGTTGAAAAAGCGCATGCCTTCTTTAAATCTCCCCTGAAATGCATTATTGTTCATCAAACTGAACAAGTTTTGGAGTTAAAGGTGTTTTTAATTCTGCATTTTGTAATTCCACCTCCACCATCACTATTTTTTTCCCGAGTGCATCAGTTTTTGAGAGTAAAAATAAAATATTATTGGAAAGCTTGGCTCTGCTTTGTGCTTATGCACACTGCAAGCTTGCAAGCTTTAACATAATTTTGCCTGATTCACAAGTTTATCCCACATATTTGAGCCAAAAAATAGCTGAGATTTGTTTTCATTATTCATGTAAATATAGACTTGTATATGTTGTTTAAACCTAGTTTCATCAGAGTAAAACTCAGCTACCTGTGTTTGCATTTATTGTAGGAGATTCTGGCTGTGACGGAGAATCCATGTCCAGTAAAGTCTCTGGGTCAGGAGGAGGACGACTCTTCAGGGATTTGGACCTCTTGGATGAGTACATGTTTTCCAGTTCAGCATACACTGCTGACAGCTTGTATAAAGGACAAGCCAAACACATATTTAATAAATAGGGAGTGTGAGAGACTTATGTGATCTCTCAGACTTATGTTAAGTTGTGAGCTGTTCTGTGAAACCTGGTACCTACATTGGTGAGGTTGTTGGGGGTCTCGGGCAGAGAAGTGCCGTCTCCTGATTGTCTTTCTCCTGGAGCCAGTCTCATACCCGTGTCCTGTCCCGGCTCGGTGCGCAGGCCTGCTGATAGAAGGCCTTTAACAGATGATTTTGACTAGTTTCAAACAGGTACATTTTAGCCAAGTTTCACTCAATATCAGCATAAACTGAATTGAGTTTGGTGTTGATCTAAGGACACTTTAGCTACAAAGCAAACATATAAAACTGCAACTTAGAATTTGAATTTTGTGAAAATGTTTTAAATGAAGTAGCTATGAGTAGTCAGTATCTTACCTGCAGCAGTTCTTGTAGAGGAGTAATGGGCTCGACGCACGAGATGCGACATTGCTTCTCTTCTACGCATTTTCAATGAGACCTGCACAACAATGCGATAATCGCAGGTCTCCCTCCTGCTAAGCTACACACGAAAAACTTGTATGTGAAATTTTGCGCTCGTGCAATTGTTGTGCACAGGCGAGCCAGCAACGCAAAACCAGAAATTTGAGAAAATTTCAACTGTTCTTCGCTGTCGCTCTGACCAACAGCAGAGCTTTTAATTGACTAACTAATGAAACAGGATGCTTCTCAGTACATCTCTGGGCAAAAATGAAGGAGAAGGCAAGGAAATGTTAACACTTGCTGTGTTGGATTTCTCAGAGATTTACAACATTTCTACAAAAGAACATAGAGATCTTCACTATAAGGCAGCGGCATGAGAAATTGTCCGTGAGTTGGTTATGGTGTGGTCTCGTATTCAACGTTTCTTTTTCTGTTTGTAATATGAGATGAACCCATTCACGTATTTTTCTTTTTTTACATAGTAAAGTCAGAAGTGAGACTTTACTTAACTCCAGCAAAACCTTGTGAGACTTCATATCTTCTGCTTTTCCAACTCTGAACTGCTTTAATAACCTGAAATTCCCTCAAGTCTGACGGCCAATCAAAACAATGGAAGACTCGATTTTTGCCCTGGAACAGAGCGCGTTGCTGACTTTTTCCGCTGCTGCATGTCGCCTCCCGTGTGTCAGGTTATGAAGCCGATAGCATCAAGTTTCGCTGATGGCAGTCGTTTGTCGCCTCCCGTGTGTCGAGCCCATGAATCTAACATGTAGTTAGGCTAGCAAACATCAAGATCAGATGTTGGCTGTCTACAACGACGTATAGACAAGTAACCACTGCAACATAGTTTGTGTCAGACCCATTTTGCAAAAAGATCCTTTGAAGGTTGTCAAGGTCATAAATTTCTTTAGATGCCGGCTTGACTTTTTTTTAAATATTTAGAAGATATTTAATTTATTGTGCAACAAGTTTTCTTCATTTAAACAGAAACATGTAGTAATATAAGAATGTTTGAATTAACAGCAAACTAATTCCAGTTTAAAACATTGGAACTCTGTAATTATAATCTGCCCAGCTCTCCTCCAAGACAAGCTGTCACTGCTGAATGTGCCGGACCCCATCTGAAAGAATGTCTCGGATAGTTGGACCATTATCACAGGTAGCCCCCCTCTGCTCGTCTCCCTCTACATCAGGGGTAGGGCAACCCTGGTCCTAGAGAATCCTGCATGTTTTCCAGCCATTCAATTCAATTCAGTTCAATTCAAAAATACTTTATTAATCCCAGAGGGATATTAGAGTTTCAATACACACATTTCTTAGATCAGACATGCATACATAAACACATGACAAGAATTGGTTACTGTGGTCATTCGCAACCCGAGCCGCTCTACCGTAGTAGATCAAGAGGGTTTATATGAGGATAGAGTCAGGGGGAGGGGAAAAAAGGCACTTCAGAGTTACCCTCCACAGAGCGGGTAGCTTTGCTATGCAAAAAAACACCTCAGACTGATATGCACACAGACTTCAGACATTACACAACATAAGTGTCCACTAGGTGGAGAGGTAGGGTTGGGACTCTCCTCACTTCAGTGCCTGCAGCCGCATGGAGCAGCGCTCATCACCTCCGTTTGGACAGAGGAGGGGGATAATGGGTTAGAGGGCACATTGACTCCTAGATACGGTTCCACGGCCTTCACCGGTCACAGTCCCGCTCAGGCTGTGATAGGGAGAAAGAGTTTCCATAGCGATGACAACATTCCACATTTCTTCTGAGGGGGGAGTTATCACTTCAGCCTCACAGGCTCCAAGAGCACCAGATTCAGATAAGAATTGTTTTGGGGACAGACAGAGATACTTTCCTCTCTGCCTTAGTGTTCTGTTGGTCTTCAACCCCTCCAGATCCACTAATGGCGTAATTAATCAATCCCAATCCGTGCTGATCCGTCAACTCGCTCCTTGATGGAATCCACCTTTTGTGCCAGAGCCTGAATCTCAGTCAAAGTTCCAAGCCTAGGACTCATCTCGACAATTATATGAGTTTGTGCGTTCACAGCACGATGCATTCCATCCCTGAGCGCCGGGATTGAGACAATATTCCTCAAAAGCTCGTTAATTTTCCGGTAAGCCAGGTAACCGCTCAGGCCAAACAGCAGGAATCCCGACACCAAAACGACAAATATCCAAACATCATCAGAATCCTCTACAGATAGTTGAGAAAGGCACATCAGGTTCCACTTTTTCCAGGAGTCCATGATATACCCAGCTGGCTCTGTCCCAGAGGGGCATCCGGGAGCCCCTTCTCCCGTTCTCATCGTTGAAAAAATTTTGTCAATCGCATTGAGAGACCAACTGACCAGATCCATTTTTAATAATTTCCAGTTTCCAGAAAAAATGCATAAAGCGCCATGCACACAAGACAGGAGAAAGAGCCTTGGGATGAGGAGGGAGGGAGAGGAGAAAAAAAGCATCTGTACTCTCCAAGAGCTGGAAGATTCAAGATTCATGCATGAACTTGCAGCTTCTAACTGGCTGAATACACCTGATCCAGGTAATCAACAGCAGGAACAACAAAGACAGTTGGAAAACAAGCAGGACTGTGGCTCTCTAGGACAAGGGCTGCCTACCCCTGCTCTACACCAACTGCTGCACCTCCGACCCCCAGTCTGTGAAACTAATCAAGTTTGCAGATGATACCACCCTCGTTGGCCTAATCTCAGATTAGGTTAAGTCTGCCTACAGGAGGGAGGTTGAATGTCTGGCGCCCTGGTACAGAAATAACCACCTGGAGCTGTGGAGAAGACGTTGGAGGCAATGACAGACTTCAGGAGACTGTCAGCTTCTTCAATCCCCCTCACCCTGACGGACACCTCTATCTCAACCGTGGACCCCTTCAGCTTCATAGACACCACCATCACCCATGACTTCAAGTAGGAAACATCCATCAGCTCTTTCATCAAAAAGGCCCAGCAGAGCATGTTCTTCCTGCAGCAGCTGAAGAAACTCACTGACTTCACTCTCATCTCCTCCATCACTATGTGGTACCCTGGGGCCACCACCAGGGGCAAGCACAGAGTGAGGGGTGTTGTGCGTTCTGCTGAAAAGGTGATCGGCCACAGCCTTCCATCACTCTTGTGATCTGTATACCTCCAGGTCACTGAGGCGTGCAGGTCAAATCACGGTGGACCCTTCCCTTCAGGCAGGAGGTTAAACAGCTCCGCACCAGTCACTTTATGTTTCTAGTTAAACATGATGTGCTGCAGAAACATAGCATTTGTTTAAACTGCTAAGAATGGTTTGTTTTTTTAATAATCTTTACATTGAACTTGTTTAGTCTTCTGAAATCTTCCCTGGAATACTATGATTGGTGTGATTTTCTAGTGAGAATTTTCCACCATTTTCCAATCATTCTGACCACTGGCAACTGCAGGTAAGATACTGACCTTTGTTAGTAACTCCATAGAAATCTACTTTAACTACCTCCTTAAGAAACAACTAAACTTTGACAAAGTAAGAAGTCAGAAGCAAAAAAATAAAAAATAAAATACATTTATATTGACAAACACATTATTTGGAAAGAAACAGGACTATGAAACAATCAAGGAGAGCAATGTGAGAGTTTATGGTGACAAAGATGATGGTGATGGTAATTGAGGTTTCCAAGGAGATAAGGGTGTTTTTTCTAGTGATGAGGCAAAGATAATGAGTTTTAGTACCCATGCCCAAGTGTGTGCCAATGACCAGGTCATCAGAGCTACGTCCCCTCACACTGCTCCTGTACGTGGTCCCCGTCACCCTCATGGAGCTGCTACGGCGATGGGGCTCAGGGGCAGGCTCAGGCTCCGGAGGAGGGGGAGGTGGTGGTGGTGGTGGTGGAACTGGAACACACACACACATATTGGCGAAGAGGAAACGGCGTATGAAGGGACGCAGCAGCTCAGCGAACTACTGATGTAACTCAAGATCCCAATGAAAGGCCACAGATTCTCCTGACAGAGACCATGAGTCACATGCACATGCGCGTGTCATCAACGGTGGGCGCACCTGGTGCTTTGTATCCAAGAAAAAGGGAGATCTTGTTCTGGCAGTGCTCCTGTTCTTCATACGTCAGCAGCTGGTAAACAAACTGCCAGATCACCTGTTTGGCTGGAGTATCCAGCACTGGGAACACATCCACGATCAGCGTGTCTACATTCCTGTTGCCATGGAAACAAGGGCAGTGTGACACAGCTCATCTAACTTCTTAGATTGACGGAACAGTTTTTGATTCCTCACATCTTCTTATCTCATGTGAGGACCCTCACCTGTGCTGGAAGAAGTTCTCTAGGGCCTTGCAGATGGTGTACCTCTCCTGGATGGTCAGCAGGTGCTCCAGCTGTTGTCCAAAAGTCCGGCCGTCAACCCTGATACTCTGGGGAAGAATCTCTGCCACCCATTGCAGGGAACTGAGTGCCGGAGAGCAGGCGCGCTCTGCAGGAACGCCGCCCCCTGGGAGGTCCTGCTCGGACAGAGTGAAGGTTGGCGTGCCCTCCTCCACCACCAGGGTGGGCATCGCACCACTTCCTTGCAGCATGGACACCACTTTCTCATGTGAGGAGGTTCTGCAGACAGAACAACGCAAATAAACATGGAAGCTTTTAAAGTTTGTGTGCTTAAACAAAACTTTATCATGAAAAATCCATTTATAATTCATTTATGCTCGAGCTTACAGCTGAGCAGTGACACGCTCTGGTCTGCAGAAGAGAAAACGTGCAGTAAATAAAAATTCTTTTATGTACTTCCTTTTCATGACTTGTCTTTTAACTTCAGCTATTTTTGGAATCAAATGGCATGTCTGAAATTAGATTTCTACTCTCTTGGGTGGCTGTAAGCTCTAAAAAAACAAAAATCTGAAATGGCATGACAACATTCACACATTTTTGTTTGCACAGCTGATCTTGTCACTCCTTTATGTTGATTTGGATCGTATTAAATTAATGACGTAACCACATAATCACACAGAATCTGTTCAAGTGGAAAGTATTTGTGAAGGTAAAGTGGATAGATACCGCATGTCCAGTCCATTGAGAAACAGGATCCGGTCTCCTGGTTTTAAACCTGCCTTATCTGCAGGGCTTCCTGCACAGCAGAAAACAAAAGGATTTGAAATGAAACTGCAGATTTCTACAACCCTTTTCTGCAGTGTAAGAACCGAACACATGTGGGAACAAGCATGTAACACTCACCAGGGATCACAGAATCAATCCACACCGGTGCGTGGCCTCTCAGAGTGAAGCCAAAGCTCATGTTGCCTTTGCAAACTCTAACTGTCCTGAAGAGACATGTGAGCTTTGAGTGACCGAGGCTCTTTAATGCTAAATAAAATGCTCACATAAAGAAAACTGTGAAGATAATTCGTGACCAAATGTGATAAAACACGAGGGGAACAAAACAGAAAATGTAGGTGAACTCCTCCACAAACTACACTGTAAAATCTAACATGTTTCAAAATAAGATTATAAATAAAAAGAGCTGCCCTGAAATTAGGAGTTGAACATTTACTATGCATTTCCTAACACTAACTGATGATTCTTAAAAGAAAACTGAACTTGTTGGTCTCATTTGTACATGAATCCTTTTCGTTTGTATCGATCTATATTTATTGAATATTGTCACATCGTTGAAAATACCTCATCAATTGACTGAATTGAAAAACTTTATTTTGATTTTCAATGTATTTAACACAAAAACAATGGCCCAATAAAAGGACCCAGAACTAAATGTGTTCATACAACTTTCAAGAATCGTCGCAAGTTTTGTTGGTTAAAATAAATCTGTCAATTTAATGATGAATATAAAACCTGGACTCAAGCTTTTACCTCTTATTAGTCCAGTTATGTGTCTTTTGTGGTCACATTTTTAATTAATCCATTAATATGGTCACCATTTAATGTCAAATTAAAATATTTATAGTGGAAACGTGACAAGTCATTTTAAACTATAGCCTTGTCCTACTAACTAAAGTTCATAAGTTTCTTAAAAACCTTTAGGGTCCAAAAGAAACACAAAAATCCTTAATTTTGATTTTCATTTGTTGTAAGATCTAAGAGTAAATTGTATGGGGTTATTAGTGTAAACATGATGACCCTGATAATAAGGGAATAATAAGATAAGGTGGTTATGTTTGCTTTCGTTTTCAAACATTCAATGTTTTTAGAATTTTTTTTAGTATATTTTTGTTCCCGGTTAAAGTGCCTTCTTCATACAGGGTGGTCTACCAAATAAAATGGTCGAATCTGCAACAAATTACTTTTATGTTTTTAGGATCCAAAGTACGTATCAGTCAATCAATCAATCAATCAATCAATCAATCAATCAATCAACCAATCAACCAATCAATCAATCAATCAAATGACAGATGGTTGTTATTTGTCACATACCTGCAGTTGGTGGTGCCACCAGAGTGGCCAGCAATGAGGGAGGTGGTCTTGCGCATGCCTCGGGCAGGTGGGGCCACGCCCTCCTCTGCTTGGGTGCGTGGCACAGAGCTGGCACGGGTGGAGACGAGCAGGCGCTCTGGGTGGTCCTCGCTTCGGCTGCGACGAAGGCGGCTACGGCTGGGGTCGCTGAAGCTTCGCCCTTTCAGGCGGCTCATCAAGCTCTGAGAAACTACCTCGTCAAAACGCTCCCGGTGCTTCTTGGGAATGAAGATCCTGGCAAACATTGTGGAACCAGACAGACTTTAAGAAAAGCTCTGCAGGACAGAAGATGACGAACAGCTTTCAGAACAGTTCTACACAAAACACAACAGAGTAGTAGGGTTTGCATCCTAGTCTGTAGATCCACCTAATTGGTTCAAAAATAGTTCAGTCCATTTCATCTCAGGGGAGGAGAAAGGAGTCCAGCATGCAAGTCTGTTTATGCATGAGCATGCTAGTGAGAGAATGGTGCAGGTAGGAGAGGAGCTTTGCAGTCTCAGTGACAGCTCAGCGTCAGTGAAACCTCTAAGAAAAAGTACTCCACCCCCCCGCATGTGTTATTTTACACCTCACAAACATAATTCTCAATGTTTACCTCCCCATGATTGGAGAAAAAAAATCCCCTTGCACATTTTAGTTTGTTATAAGTTGAGTTTTAGCATGTAGGTGAAATTGTTTAAACAAAATACAAAAACTTTCCAGCAGTTTGGTGTAAGAACGTAGTAATGTGGCCTTCAACCATCATCAGCAGGCAGAGGAATCCTTAAATGGAGTAAAACTCAAAGCTGACATCTGCCAGTGAAAACCTGAAACATTGGCTCCCATTAAAACGTTTAGAGCCAGGCTGTTCGCACATCTCTTCAGTTCAGCCAATTATCTGCAAGAGGAAAACAAATATGTAACAAATCAACAAAAATAAATGAAAAAAGTGTTTTCTACATTACATGCAAGTCACACCTAAACGTTCCTCAATGTTCTGCATCGTTTCCTCCCTATCCCAGCTGTAAAATTGTGCCACCTCGATTTTCTCAACACACTCCCTCCTCCATCTATCCGTGTCTTTGTCTCTCTTGGGCACTCCCACTGTACCAAGGAGCAAAAACTGCTTCAGCTCCCCAGAATGAACCTGTTTCCTTCCTAAATGCAGCACGGCTCAATATGTGTACACCGCAGATGAGAAGAAGGACCAGTTCTGATGGCATCCTGCAGTCTGTTTAAAGCATCAGCTTTAAAGATCACTGAAGGTTACGAAAGACCAAACTAGAATAAAGTTAAATTTTAAAATGATGGAATATTTTTTGCCACAATTATTACAATAAATACCTTAATATTGCCATTAGATCCATGTTTAATTTGGCTCATAAATGTTTCCATACCTCAGCAGGTGTAAGTCCTTGTCACTGATTAATAGTTTTTCTTTCCTAATGTGTTGTGAAGGTTCTGAACCACCAAGGCTTTGGTCTTCTTAATAGGTCCATGTAGACCTTCTGAAGCTGATTCAAGCTGTAGTTCCAAGCATTAAAATTTGCCATTGATTATTTGTTTTTGTGAGCTCACTCCATCCATCCATGCATACATACATCAATCTATACATCCATTGATTTTTGGGGTCAGGTCATGGGGCAGTAGCCTAAGCAGTGTAGCGGTTAATGAACTACATATTTAGGAATTAAAGGCTGTTGCTATTCAGCTTATGTTTTAATTTCTAAATATGTGGTTCATTAACTGCTACATATATGGTGAGCCAACCCGATTTTGTTAAAATCAAAGCACTCTACTTTGTGTTTAATTAATAATTAAGGGCTGCATGGTGGCACAGGGGTTAGCATTGTTGCCTCGCAGCACGAAGGTCGCAGGTTCGAAACTCGGCTGCGGCCTTTCTGCGTGGAGTTGCGTGTTCTCCCCATGCATGCGTGGGTTTCCTCCGGGTACATGGTTTCCCCACAGATCACAACATGCCCTATAGGTTATGAATTGTAAGTCACTTTGGATAAAAGCGTCTGCTAAATAAATAAACATAAACGTAAACAAAATTCATTAATTTACAAACGGGAAGTTGTCCCTTTATTTTTCTTCCCCCAGTTAAACCGGAATGGAAGCTTTTTACAGTGACACCAACTCCCACAAACAGCAGCCAAGCCAGTTTATCCGAAGCAAATCGCTTCCCTTCATATTACATACTAATTCCTAAAAGTAAGTAAGTAAGTAAGTCAAAGTTTATTTATATAGCACCTTTCACAGATATGGGGATCTGCCAAAATGTAGATATTCGTCTACGTTTTGGCCTGTCATCCACACGAAAACGGAGTTTTTTCACACGAAAACGGATCTTTTTAAAAACTCCGGCCAAAGTGAAGATCTGCGTTTTCTCCGTTTTGGGTGTCTGCGTGTGGATAGACAAAACTGGAGTTTTAAGGTCCACAACGTCACTTTTCGCGACAAAAAAATGCTGACATCACGTGTGCGACCTGTGTTTACACTAGCCAACAGCATGGATGCCCTCAGAGCTGCGCTCGCTTTATCAATTGTCCAAGCGCTTTCTGCTTGTTTGTTTTTGCAAGCGGAATTACTGCTCCTTGCGGAAGACCACAGACGAAGGACGAGGTTAAGAACGGGGGAAGTACTGCCGCCTACAGGTCTGGCATGTCCTTATCAACGTATTTATCCGGGTACGTGAGGACAGTTTTTTTTTAAACGAGGTGGTGTGGATGCAAGTTTTTGGAGGGGCGGATATTCGTTTTTAAAAAAACCCGGCTATGTGTGGACTAGGTCCAAGAGTCAGAGAAACTCATTTCTCTCTCTTCACATTAGCAAAAAGCTAATTACTAGACAGTCCGATCAACTGTTAAATAGCACCTTTTCCGGCGACTACCCCGACTTTTCCGAGCCTTCGGAACAACCAGACTGTGGTCTGAAGAGTGATTGTGCTCAAACTCGACACATCACTGAATGTGCGCTTTTAAATCCTCTTAGCTAGTGACTAGCACAGCCTGCTATCATCCGAACGCCACAATAGCAGCAGCATGTTGTGCCTGAACACCGCAAAATATACGCTAAACCCAGCCTAAAACAACTAGAACCAGTGCACAGGTCCGTTGCAGTCGAAGAGGTTGTCCCATTGGATATAAACTAACCCATTAAGTCCTGATTCTGTTCAAATCTAGGCCTTGCCGACGAGCTGTAGCATTCGTCGTGCCTGAGATAGGATCGGATACGTCAGAACTGAGCGGGATTTCCGCCGCAGACACACTGCTTCTCCATTAAAATCCCTTTGGAGTAAACATTTTGGCTCTTAAAACCGCCGTGTTTTTAGCCAAAAACCAGAGCTCAGCTAAAATATCTCAGTTCGCTTGTGGATCTGATTAAAGGGAGTGACGCAAGCGTGCCTCGCCTCCATTAATCACGTTCCTTTAGCCTGGTGCTACCATCTACTGGCGGGTTTTTCACCCGGCTCTCATAAGCTCACAGCTTTCCAATTTGATTCCTCTAATAGGTTTCTAGTGCATCATCACAATGGCCTCATACCAAAATGTCTATCTGGCCTCTGTTATAGCTGATGTCACACACAGTTTCAGTCAGGAAATACAGAGTTTCAGACAGAGTTTCTGACAGGAAAGGAATCTGCAACTCAACGAGTGGGAGAAAGTGAAGCTGCAAATCAACAATTTGGGGAAAAGCATCTAGGAAATGGGGACAGCAGCCCAAAATCTGAGTAACACGCTGGATGTAATTGAACAAGATCCTAATGTTGTGCAAGAATTAAATATTTCTGCTGTTGAGCTGCTTCCAGAACAAATTCTGCAAACAAATTCTCCTTCAGGCAACAGAACCACCTGTTCCTGCCACACTGGAGACCGATTCATCCGCAACGGACGAAATTCCGGTCCACCCTGGCGTTGAGTCCACCAAAATATTCTTGGGACACCTAGTGCCCCAGGAGAAAGCTGGTAAATCTCTGGTGTCGGTCAAACTGACCCAGAATCTATCCTGCAACGCACTTCTTGACACAGGTTCAGATTTTACACTTATAACTCGAGCGATGTTCGACCGCATCTGCATTTCTTGTGGAGCGGGTTCAGACCCCCAGAACTTGTTCCATGTTTGTAACGGTCAAGACTTTCTCTCATGACTTAATCTTGTCTTCTAGGTCTGCCCTCCACTTCTCGATCGGTCCCATGACTCTGACACACCCTGTGTACATCTCCGAGCATGCAAGGATGCCTTTCACTCTTGGCATGGACTTTGAGGCGCATTGATGCTTTCATTGATGTGGTAGGGGGGGAACTCTGGTCAGGGGTTGAAGAACCTCTGCCCATCGTTCTGCCTCCTGACCTCCACTGTATCACAGTTGGTAACTCTGAGCAGGGGGGAACAACATGTTCACCACCTAGCCCAGAACCTTTGCCACCACAGATTCAGCTTTCATCAGAGTCACATTCTGTTGATTTCTCGAACATTGATCAGGTCGTGGACCTAGCTGAGGCTCCTACCACTGTAGTTGAGCGAAACAAACAACAACTTGTGTTAAAATATCCTGATTGCAATAATCTTTCTCTTTCCACCATGTGGGCAGGTAAACACCTTTCCAGCTACATCGGTGGCCAGAAACTCAGCTTTGAAACTCGACTTCCGCCAGTGAACTTCCTTAACGGTCATCTCAACAACTTTACAGACCCTCTTGCCACTCAAGGTAAAGATGTGGGCCCCCCCATGGTCCCTCAAACCCTTGTGGCCCCCTGATGATGCGTCCATCTTTCAACCATCTGATGGGTTTGTGTCTGTTCAACTTGTATTTTCTATAAATGACCTTGTCAGTCTTCAGTTCCAGGACCCTGCTATCAGCAGGATGGTCTTGCACCTTTCCGACCCAAAAGCTCATCTACATCCTTCTCTGGAGTTTGACTCCGTTCCTGAGCTGCATGCTCTCTTTTATGTTCGTGTCACTCCTCTTTCAGGTGTTGTTGACCACAACGGCGCTGGGCTGACCAGGGAATCCAGTACCTCTAAGATCGTTGATGTCCACAGAGCCTGTGTTGTCCCTGCAGCAGAACCACTCCTACCCTAGTTGGGAAAGCCACCAGACCCAGGGAAGGCTTGCAGCGACGCTCCGCCTGAGACTCCAGACCCTTTAGTGGGAACGCCACCTGCCGCAGGGAAAGTTGATGGTGGCACTGAGACTCCAGCTGAAGCCCAGTACTTTGCGGTGGGAACACCACCTACCAAAAGGGGGGCCGACGCCATCACTGACCTTGCTCCACTACAGCTGGCGCTGATGACCTCTCCTGAAGTGGGTGACTTACCTACCAAATGGGGGATCAGATGTCGCCCTGTACCTTCACTGGCTGACTCTGATCTCTCTGATCGCACCTGTGTGTCGACCGGGGGCCCTCCAGAGAGCACATCTACTCCGGACCCTCGTAAGGCTGCGCCTGCACCTGCCTAAAACCTAGAGCATTCTTGGTTTCAGTCTTCAGGATCGACAATGTTTCTCTTGCTAGTCACATGTTTCTGTCTGGTCCTGAACGTGGCTGTGCTTCCTCCTCAGCTTCCTCTAATACGACCGTATGAGCCTGGGTCCTCTTCAGGTGTCTCACTCCGAGGACTCCCAGATCTCTTGATGTCTAACCATCACCTTCTGTTCCAGCCAGTTCAGTCTGGTGGCGCTGTGGCTTTCACTAGTGAGCGGGTTTTGCAGAGCCTTAACGACAATCTGCCTGCGGTGTTTTTTTTTCCACAGACAAATCTGAAGAAACCAGCAGGGGGCAGTATGACTCCTCATGATCAGAGGGCCTCTCATTCTGACCTCAATTTTGCTTCTAATTCTGGTCACACAAAAGTCACCTCTGGTAAAACTGGTTAATAACCTTTCACGGGAAAGGTCAGGTCCATACCTGACAACTAAACCACTCTCTCCGGTCGTGTATCTGATCAAGATCACCAAAGGTAACAAGGACCCCATCTATTTATGGGTCCGCAAGAACAAAATCAAACTGCACAAAGGTTCCACTAATTTGGATGTCATTATAACCAATATAGCTGACTACCAAACTCAAATCGTGCCAAAAGCGGGGTGAACTTCCATCCGCTCTCGCTGGGTTCTCTGATTCAGGTCACGTAAGTCCTGTTGAGTGTATGTGTGTGCGAGAATAGATTTCTAAACATATTATGCAGACTTGGTTGATCTTGGTTGTGGCCATGCTGTGGTTTTCCATAATCATATGATTTAAGTTCATAACAGTTCAAAGTGAGTAACTCCACTACCTGTTGAGTTGATCCAAATGAAATGTTTCTTTATTTTTCAATTTCTAGTGATTTTGATAACTTTTGAAGTTTAATCTTTTGATAACCGATTTCAGTTCATTTTTATGCTTCAGTTATTTACTAATTATTGATTCCTACTGTGATAGAGTCACATATAGGTTTAATTACTAACAACACTGATTTACATTTTAGTGTTTTATCCTTTATTATTACCTACTTTAAGATGGATTCATTCATATAAGTTTCTGTCAGTACATTACAGCTGATTTCTTCATGATTTCTTTATGTTATCTACTATGGTCTCTTTATTTGACTTTTGCTAGTTTGGGGCTGCAGCCATTTTGCCCTTCTCTTTTGATAACATTTTGCTCAGAAACGTTGATTCCCCTTGCATATAGTTTAGGGTTTTATTAATTTTATTCTTTTTGCATCACCTTTTTCCAGTACACGTAGTGTATGGCATCCATTCATTTCACCAGAAATCTTTTCACATAATCTGCTCACATAGTACATTTAGGTACATGTAGAGGGTAAGTTTATTTTTGTTTGTTGATTTGCATCTGACGCAATCTTCCTGTCTACCCTCACGTGCTTGTGTCTGGTCTACTCCTCTCCTGAGCTTCGCCATTGGTCTTCGCTACCTGGGAGACCTCTATGCTTCTCTGCCTTATGCTGATGCTGCCTGGAGCTCCGGTTCGTGGGTCTGCACGTCCTGTGGTCCTGCCGTGATGATGGGTCGTCTATAGTTCACCTGGGACCTGATCCGGCCTCCTCTTCATCTGCCCCCTTCCTACCTGTGGTCTACGCTGTGTGGGAACACAGAGCTCCTTTATCCTTTTTGAAATACACAAATAATTCCTAACGATCAATTGCTGTTGAAATAGCTACCTTCACAAGGATATACGAATGATCTACAGATTGTTGACTTAACCACGTCCTAAGGATATGATCCTGACTATTCATTGGCATGGGGAATGCTTCCTCACTCCTGCCTTCAACTGGGACTTGACACCTGCCATTCCTCGACGGAGTCCTTCGGGGCTCTAGGGTTGGTACAACGCCAGGTGGTTTTTCCAGACCACCATGACCTTGTAAAAAGGGGGACTTGTAGCATCACTGAATGGCCTGATTCTTGACCCTCAGGTCAGAGACACAGCCTGGGTCACCTTGATCCTGGCTGCTACGACAATCTACAGTGTTTCTTTCACAGGAGACTGAATGTCGGTCTACCACCCCTTTAATCTGACTGCCTTTATCTGACTGCTGTTCCATCTGCAAGATGAAGGACACTTCAAGAATTAAAAGAATCATTTTTAATAAACTCTTTTCACTGTCTATTACAAGGTTCATAAATAATCATCATGGTTCTTTATAAATGTATTTAATCACTGAAATGAATTATTATTCTTTGGTTAATAATTATTATTTATGATAATCAGTCATGTTTAACAGTGACAAGAAGGTCATGTGCACTTATACACACCCTGCAGGACACAGAAATCAGGTTAAAGGTAACTGCATTCACATGTCTTTTTCCATAACACCAGAGCTTTCTATCTTGGGGAGGCGGGCTTCTGAGGTATGTTAAAATCTCTACACGTCAAAACCTGATTCGTAGACCAGAAAATGTCCATTTTATAAAACAGAACTCTTGGTATTTAGCGAGTGAGTTCTAGAGAAGTGGGATGGCCGCCCACACGCTCTTTAACCAACAAGCGATTTCTTTCACGCTGGCAGAATTGCTACAACACAACAAATGACACCTGCAGAACAAAGCTGACGCAAACTCCTTCAGAGTTATTATTTTTGAGACGCAACCAGTTTCATCACTCGTTGTGACCCGGAGACATCTCAGGACTGACTTGGTCGCACTAAGGTTCTTCTATCCACCTCGTGCTTGGGGTCATCATCTCCTCCTGACATCTCGGATCCAAAAGGGGGTCTCCTAACTGGGTGAGGTAGACACTTCCGACAGACTGCGTTTGAATGCTCTTTAATAAGAACAACTTTGGTTTATCTGCAAACCAAATTCTTTCTACCCAGAACGCGTCTTCTCTCAAGATACACGTTCTGAGAACATTGCATTCTCCCACCAACAAACACACTTGAATTTACAACTATTATATACATAGATCTGTATATGTATGCATCAAGCCCCCACAATGCCGATCAGAAAATGGTCCCAACCCGGAAGTAAGAAAAATTGCAGTTCCACCCTCATCCGCTGGGGGCTGGTACCAGAAGCGAGCAAATCCTCATTGACTCCCATGTTAAAAATGCCATTTTCACAGCAGAAATAAACATGTTTACAGCCTGGTTCAAAAAATGGTTTTTTGTCTAAATTATCTAGTTTATACTCATGACAACTCTGAGGGGGGTGAATTTTTTTCTCACTCTTCTGTTTAAGTGTATTGAAAGCCTAAAATTCTGTATAATTAATGAGCATCCGACACACGTGACCGCCGCCTCAGACCCACGTGACCACAGAGCTAGCTCCGTGGAAAGGCCTCAGTACAGCCTCGGTCTCTCCTGGAAACTGTGTCGGGATTTTGAGTCTCTGTGCTTGTGAATTCTGTTTTGGATAATATTGGTGCAATTGTTGGACAAAATGACTTGCTGTGGTATTAATTGCACTAATAGAGCGTCCAAGGAGTCTCCACTTCATTTTTTCGGTAAGTTAAAATCTATATTTGTATTTTATGTCACTGCTGCCTTTAAACTAGCTGAGTTTACCGAAGTAGCTAGCTAACTATCAGTTTAACATGTAGCATGTACTGTTTAACCATGAAATTTAAATGTAAAATACGGTAAAATAATTAATAGGGCATATTTAAATGGGTAATAGGGTAAAACCCAGTGCATTTAAGATAAAAATGGGTTGAAATATGACGGGGCGCGCCGCTTGGGGGGACACTTCTGTGCTCTATTCTTTCATCCGGTAATCCCCAGCGGTCAGGCCGGGCAGGCTGATCGATGCGGCGCCTCGCTGCTGCGGGCTGACCGCTCGTGGCACTCGGAGACAGATCTGACCGGAGAAATACTGCAGCTCGTTGAGAAGTCTATAGGGCATACAGCGTTTCCCTTAAATCCCACTGCCACGCCGACAAGATCCCAAGTTTCTTTGTTTTTGTTGGCGCTGTTTACCGAAGAAGCAGCGGGAATACCAGCAACTTTCATCAGACTCGTAAAGTTAGTTTTTGCAGGGGACCCCCTGTATTTTACTGCTCCCTCCTGCAGTCTTCCCCTATTAAAATTTAAAATGTGTAACTTCATGTATTGGGATGAATGACTAATATTCATGTTAACTAAAACGTTAGGTATTTAGGGGGAAAAACAAAATAATAAACATTATACAGATGTCAAATAAATCAAACTGTAATTAAACTATATATTTTCAAAGTCTAGATTCTGGATAAAATCCAACAACATATGCTTTATAAATAAACACTACGCATGGCTTTTACACACACACACACACACACGTTACATTGTGATTTCTTAGTAAATATTCTATTTGGCGAGAGATAAACTTTATTGTATTTATCCTAGTGAATCTATAATTAAACGGGTAAACTAGCAGTAGTACATCCAACATCAAAGAAAGTAAAATGTTATTATCAGGAGAGGGAGAATGATTAAGTGGTTAGCAGCAGTGTGCTAGACGATGGCCCCCTCCATGAGGCCACCACAGCTCAGCAAAGCATCATTGTTGCTTCTTCTGGGGAGAAAAACACTTACAGAAAAAATAAAGTTAACAGCTGAAATAGCAGGAAATAATACAGTTAAAGAGCAGATAGTAGAAGAAAGAAACCCCTAGGTTAAACTGGTCTGTCTACTGCATAATGCTGAACTCTAACATGTGTCCTCAGGGAAGGACCTGATTGGTGTCCAGAACCTGCTGAAGAAGCACGAGGCTCTGCAGGCTGAGATCACAGGTCATGAACCTCGCATCAAGGCTGTCACCCAGAAAGGAGAGACCATAATGGAGGAAGGTAGAGCAGGTCTGGTCCTGACATGTTTCTGAGGTGTCTGCAGGTTCTGGCTCACTTTGTTTGGGTCCAGGTCACTTCGCTGGTTCAGAACCCTCGGCCCGTCAGAACATTCTTATCCACCACGTTCTAACACCAGACCTGTTAACCCGACAGCAACAAGTGGCTCCAACTGACGATGAGACCGGGAAGGAGCTGGTTCTGGCTCTGTACGACTACCAGGAGAAGAGTCCTGGAGAGGTCACCATGAAGAAGGGCGACATCCTCACGCTGCTCAACAGCACCAACAAGGTTCGTATGCCCTTCACAGCCGAGGAACGACCTCCAGCTCAGAGCGAACATCTCCACACCTGCTTTGTGTTTGTGTGACTTTAGGTTGTTTTACTTGAACTCGCGTCTTTAGCTGAATGAGGATGGAGAGGCGGGTCGGACCTGGAGCAGGTCGAGGTCTTGCAGAAGAAGTTTGACGACTTCCAGAAGGTCGGACTTTTCCTCCTCTCCGTCTTCCAGCAGCAGCTGTCAGATCAGCTCAGGTGATAATCAGCAGGTGCTTTTGTCCTGCAGGACCTGAAGGCCAACGAGTCCCGCCTGAGGGACATCAACAAGGTGGCATCTGAACTGGAGTCAGAAGGTCTGATGGCTGAGGAGGCTCCTATGGTTCAGGCTCAGGTGAGCGTCACCTGTCTGCAGCAGCTGGTCCCTCTCACTTCCTGGTTTGTTAACTCTGCTCGTCTCTGTTTGTAGCAACAAGAACATCTGGGTTCTGCTCCTGGAAAGGTGCGTGTTGTCCTCCGCCTCCACCAGAACCAGACGTGGTGTTTTTGTTACCACTCATTTGTTTGTTTACAGGATGAAGCCGACTCTAACCCCGGCTTTCCACAGGAGTCGTCAGCAGCACGTTTACTGCAGCAGCACGTCATAGCTGCTGATAGGAACCGCTGTGGTCAACAGAACCTTTTCCACCGGAGCCGTCAGCAGCGCGAGTCGGCCGCATCTCAGGAGCAGCATGTCGCGGCCCTTACGCGCCGGTTCTATTTTCTACGCGCGACGCCTCTGAAACGGGTCAAGTTCGACATTTTTGGGGAAGGAAAGACAGGAAATCGGACGCGGAAATTGAGAGAAGCTACCGAGATTTTCAGAATAAAGAACGTACTGCCTTCCGGTTGCTTTACTTTTAAAAATAGTTACTAACTGTGCGTCCCCGTGAGAAGTTATCACCTAGCTAGCGGTCTCCTTTGTTTTTCAGGTCCGTATTGGCGATTATAAAACGGACAGAACATAAAACACAAACCATGTTGTAGTTTTCTCCTGCTTGTTGTTGTGTTTACTGACGAAGTCACTCGAGTGACTTCGTGCTCGGTCGGTGACAGCTGCTCCCCTGCTGCTTCGCGTCTCGTGGGAAGGGCCAAGCAGCAGCTTACGCGAGCAAGACGTGCTGCTGACGGCTCCTGTGGAAACCCGGGGTAACACGGCGTCACCCTAGAAGGTGAGTTCATTCAGCTGATCAGAGGTCACCTCTGATGGCCGCAGTCACGGCCGACCGTGCTGAAATCACACAGGAATTCAGGTGACCCGGCAGGCACCAGGTGCTGGTGAAAGTGGGGACATGTCAGCTGGTTGCCATGGCTACAGTTATCTTTATGCATCTGTATGACTGCTGACTGGTGTGTGTTTCCTGTGACCTTTGACCTCAGACCGTACGGTTGGGCGTTCAGACGACGGCTAACTTTAATTCCATCAAGGTAAGAGGAAGCTCTTCCCTTCCTGTCTGAGCGATCCGTCTCCAGGTTTCCTCGTCCGGCGTCCAGCCCGCTGGCGTCCACCTTCATCTCACTGGGTTTGGTTTCTCTCCAGGAGCTGAACAACCGCTGGCGCTCGCTGCAACATGCTGGGCAGCGCCCATGAGGTGTAGCGCTTCCACAGGTACCCCGCACACTTATGCGCCGCTTACGGGTCAGTAGAGTTTGGACCCACACTCAGACGGAGTTCTGATGTCTTCTCAGAGACGCTGATGAGACCAAAGAGTGGATCGAGGAGAAGAACCAGGCCCTGAACACAGACAACTACGGCCACCACCTGGCCAGCGTTCAGGCTCTGCAGCGTGAACATGAAGGCTTTGAGCGTGACCTGGCAGCTCTGGGTGATAAGGTCCGCTTTCCTGATCGGTACCAGGACCCGAGTTGTCTCTGGAGACACGTTCTTCATGGTTCTGGTGACTCCACCCCAGCCGTTCCTGATCAGCGATCAGCGGGGTGCTTTCCTATTTAAGGTGGATGGAGGACACAATTTGACGCCAGAAGATTACCTCAGTTTTGGTAGTAACCAGCCACTCGTGTTACCTCTAGTGTTCCTAGGATTAATGTTATTTCGTAGTGTTTTTGCTCTTATATTGGATTTACCATTCTTCAGGATTCCTGTCGACCTCATTGGATACTGACCTCTACTCCAGGATTTGGATATTCAACACACGGACCTTATCACCACCCTCCATAACCCACCTCTCATCTCACCCGTTGCCCCATCCACCAGGACGCCCCGCTTCTCTCCACCTCTGCTCCCTCTCCTGCGCTTCCTCTCTACCTCTCCCTCCTCCAGCCAACACATACACCCACCACAGTAAGTCTGCTGAACACCTCTGCCTGCCTACAATGGATTTTGAAACCAGAACCTAAGCTCACCTGTGTTCTCCCTCCTCCAGACGCTGAGCTGTTGTTGCAGTTCCAACCACAGACTTATCTGTGCACCTTAAGTTCCTCCTTATAAATAAATCATTTTTTCCATCAGTTTTTGGTCAGTGTTGTATTCTGCATGTCTTGGGTTAAGTACCTTCCTCCAAACATGACACTCCTCCTCAAAGAGCAAATCTGTTCAGCACATTCTGACAGACAGACCACCATTCTTCCGTCATGATGCTGTACAGGACATTTTTAGAGTTTTTCTTTTTAAAGATAAATAGGATTATATTTAAATAGCAATACTTTCACATTATCATTTTCCCACACTTCTGTATAACTGTATTTTGTTGTTTTTCAATAAAGAATGACAAACTATTTAAGTTTGGATTTGTTGCACACAAATATATATCTGTAAAAAATATCTACAAAGCTAATGTATACATAACAAGTATGATTGGGTTTTGCAATACGGCACTATTTTAGTAAGAATTTTAAACCAAGTAAAGTTAGTAAAGAACACATTTCTATTGTCTGCTAAGAAACTGTTGGGATTTAAAATGGGCCTGTTGTACAAATAACTTGTAAATGATTATTCCTCACTTTTGTCTTAACCAAAGAAATTCCAGTAATTGAGCAAAAACATTTATTTTTAACACTACAGTTTATAAAACAGGGCGCAAAGTGTCGGCACATGTATGTATGTCGATGGTCCGCCCCAACCGAACCAGGAGACACAGACGTCAGGGAGGCCAAGGTTGTCTCTGCAGCTCTCTGGGCACCACGCCTCACTCAGCTGTCTCCAATGATCCAAATGGCTATGGAGAAAAAATAACAGGTTTGTCATAATTGTTTAAAGTACAAAACCATACATGAAGTGGTGAGACAGGTATGTGAAATTTACACTTGCTGCTTTGTGTAGCTGATGTTGGAGACACACAGGCTGCCATGGTGACATTTAAACAGATCTAACAAAAAAATAAAAATGAAAATTAAAAACTCCCAGACCTCATGTCATATTTACTAATCAGCTATGGCTGATTTATTGTTTGGATCACAGTGAGTTACACTAATTCTAATATATTTTTATTTCTATTATACATACATACTTTTTAACTGTTATTTTCACGACTGTTATCAGGCTCTCTTGTTCTGGTTCTGATGATAATTCCGTGTCTTCCAGTAAGTTATCTTGTGCTTACTTCATCTGTAGAATGTCTCTTTACTTTTGGTAAATTGTACTGAGTCCAGAATAAAGACTAGTTGGCTGTACAAGATACAAACAAGTATAACATTTTGGAAATATATGAAATGTATTTACGCTGCTAATTTAGCTCGAATACTAATAACTGCAATATTTTCCGGACTATAACTCGCACTTTTTTACATTTTCTGGCAGGTCCTGCTACTTATACTCCGGAGCGACTTATATAACAAAATATGTAGGCTACACCACGCTGCTGCGGGCCGACTCCGACCCACACAGGAATGAGTTCCCCTGTCCCGCTGGGAGGGTTTCAAACACCGCCAGCATCTGTTAGAGCCTGTGGCGGGGTGCTGAGGGCCGGCTCCAGCCCAGGAATGAGCTCTCCTCGCCGGCCGGGAGGGGTGGAAACACCGCCATCCTCTCCTCTGCTGGCTGTTGTTCATTCTGTTATGGTTACCGGTGCTTGTGTTGCAATGTGAAACGCTTGGTCTCAGATTTTGAAAGAAAGATAATAAAATGTCCCCCCAAAATACGACTTAAATATATTTTCTCTTATTCATGATACATTTAATGGCTGGTGCGACTCAGGAGTGATAGCGCCGAAAAAAACTGTACTGAAAACTTGCTCAAAGCAAAATGTTTTCATTACGGAAATAAATTATAAACTTACCGATTTAAAACTTTTTTAATACAGGTACTTCTCACGAACAGGCGCAGAAAACCTCCACCTAAACTCCGTGTAAGGTTCAGGTCGATGGGTGTTCCAGTTAGCTCCGGTTGGGTTGAAGCTAGGTGGCTACATCCGTTAGCTCGGCTCCCACCTCCGCTTTAGCTTTGGGTTAGCCAGGGTTAGCTTCAGGTTAGCTCGTAGCTAGTTCGCCTGGGTGTCGTCACTCGAGCCCAGCCTTACAGCCACACCCTCAGCGCCTCCTCTCTTCCCTTTTATGGAATTGTCTGGGCTGGACGGAACCTGTGACACGGTCAAAATGGCGGTGGTGGCCACCTCCCATTATAGACAACAAACGTGTTATTGAAGCCAATGGAATCCGTTTGTCCAGTATATGTACAGTCTATGGTATGCATGCATGTACATTTCATTCATTAATTTGTTTGATCTTTCTTAGGAATTAAAACATAAGCTTAATAGCAACAGCCTTTAATTCCTAAATATGTAGTTTATCAACGCTACAGCAGGAAGGCCCAGACTTCCCTCTCCCTCGCCACTTGCAGCTGAGAGACACAGTCCTTCCAGCGTGTCCTGGGTTTTTCTTTAGGTCTTCTCCTGGTTGGAAGTGCCCAGAAAACCTCACCAGGGAGGTGTCCAGGAGGCATCCTAACTAGATGCCCGAGCCAATGGCGCCCCTAAGGGGTGGCCATGGCCACTCATAGAAAATAGCTGCCCCCCCCCCCCCCCCCCCCCCATAAAATTAGAAATAGCATTTGAAATAACTGAAATGTATTTTTCTGAAATTTTTGTGTTTGTAAAATTTAAGTTAAATGTTTTGGATACGTACTGTTTTTGTTTTTATTTATTTATTTTCTTTAAATAACACGAACAAAGGAACAATGCAATACACTGCCACAGGCTAAACTCCCAGAGTTACCACAAGGAGCAATTTGGTGTGCCACCCCCAAAATTTCTTTGGCCCCATCTGGCCACCCCTATCAACATTTTCTGGAGGCGCCCCTGGCCTGAGCTACCTCAACTGGCTCCCCTCAATGTAACGCAGCAGCGGATCTACTCCAAGCCCTTCCTGGATCTCTATGGGAGAGCCCAGTCACCCTAGAAAACTAATTTCAGCCGCTTGTATCCGCAGTCTCATTATTTTGGTCACTACTCAAAGCTAGTCAGATGAGGAACGTAGATCGACCGGTAAATCGAGAGCTTTGCCTTCAACTCAGCTCTCACATCACCACAACAGATCAGGACAACGCCCGCATCACTGCAGATGCAGAACCATTATGCTTGTCGATCTCATAGTACTTCTTTCTCTCACTCGTGAACAAAACCCCAAGAGACTTAAACTCCTCCAATTGGGGCAGGACCTCATCCCGGAGAAGGCATTCTACCCTTTTCCGACTCAAGACCATGGTCTCGGATTTAGAGGAGCTGACTCTCATCCCAGCTGCTTCACACTTGGCTGAGAATCGCTCCAGTGTGAGAGCCAGAGATAATGTCCTGATGAAGCCAACAGGACCACATCATCTGCAAAAAGCAGAGACTCAATCCTTAGGCCACCAAAACGGATCCTGAATCCAAAATTTGACAATCCGTTGGAACCTACTCTCCAAAACCCTAGACTTTACCGGGGAGGCTCAGGAGTATTATTCCCTTGTAGCTGGATCACATCCTGTGGTCCTCCTTTTCAAATAGGGGGATGACCACCCCATTCTGCCAATCAGAATGGGGTGGTCTAATGAAATCGCCCCTATGTCCATGGGCTATTGCAAAGCTGCGTCAGCCAACACAATCCATGGCCCTAACGCTTGGTTTATGCTTGACGCGTCCGCGAGGTTCGCACGGCTCCGCGCGGCAAAATTGCGTCATTTTAACAACCACTCCCCTCCACCGCGCCTCCGCACGGCCCAAGCTTTCTGCACCGTGCACCTAGGAAATTTTCTAACCACACGGACGGTCGGACGCGGAAAAACATGGCGGACTGGCAAGAACTTGTATGGCAGAGTTCGTAAATACAGACATTTGTATGATTCAGCTCTCAAAGATCACCGTGATCAACATGTTGTTAATAATTCTTGGAGAGAAATAGCTCGCACTGTCGGAAAAGACGAGGACGCTGTTAAAAAATGCTGGAATGCCATGTTGTAAACAACAGTAATTTTTACTTCTACTATGGTGTTGTGTTGGATGCATGCCGTAGAGCTCCATACTGCCCCCTACAGTTTGGGAGAATATTGGCTCACCGCAGAGACGAGCCCCATGAACCATAAACGCAGCAAGTTGTGAAGCGCGTTCCATCCGCAATCCGCATCACCAAGTGGAAAGTGAATGCGTCAAGCATAAACCAAGCTTAAGGAACTCTGGGTGGATCTCACCCGCCCTCGGAGCCTTGCCACCAAGGAGCATGTTGACGAATTCATAGACCTCATCACCAGATATTCAGCACATTCTCACACCCAAAGTGTTGAAAAATGACACTGGCTGGCCAAGCGCTTGTTTCCGATGCGTTGGGACTCCCAACACGTCGGGAGGCAATATGCTGTGCTGGAGCGTTGATTTCCGATGCCCGCGGTAAAACGCACATTTCACTGACATTTAACCTCTAACCTCTTGCTATTTAACCTTCCCATCACCCCCATTCTAATCTTGACCCTGTTTCTCATTCTAAACTTCCCGTTAACCATGTTTGAGAGGTACGACACGACTAGAAACAAAGTTCTTCATGCGCAAGCGGGTTAAGGTTAGGACAACAAAGGCCTTAGTGACCCCAAGGCGGGAGGGGAGAGGGAGAGGTAAGTGAATTAGCTTGTATTAATAAAGCTCTTGTAGAGCTTTTATGAACCGGTAAAGCTCATCAGCCTCAGACCATTTACAAGAAGACCAACTGCCTTTTTTTTTAATCTTCTTGTTTGTGGCAGTAGCTTATACAAACAGAAGGGGCTCAGCAGCATGTCTGCACTTTATTCTTTCCTCACACTTTCTGCTGGTCTGCATTCTCATGAAGAGACCTGTACCCACCCCAGGAATCCTTAAAAAACTGCTGATTCACTGAGGATTCTTCTTCCAAAGAGACTGACACTTTAAGTGTCTTGTAGCCATCCTCAGCAGACATAACTCTAGTAGCATATTGTATTTTAATGCTTACAGCAGATAAACTCGTAAGTTAACAGACATGGGAGCTGTAATGTTTATAGGTAACTGTGATTAAGTGGTTTGTGCAGTCATGCCGCAAACAGCCAACAGCTGTTGGTGTGGTAGGACAAATAGGACAAAACCAAAAAATAACAACCCAGGAGCAGAAAGGATGAGAAAACATTTAAGGACGCAGAAGCAGTGGAGCCCTGAGGTTGGAAGAAAGAAAAAGAAGAGAAATCAAGCTCTTTCTAGGCCAGGGTCATGCTGGAATGGAGCTGTGTCGTCTGTAGCTCAAAGTGTATGTAGGACGCACAACTTTCCTGAAAACCCCCTCAGACATCCTCATGCCCACATGGACTAGCAACAGAATGGAGAAAGAAACTGGATAGGGTCATTCATCCAGAATGAAATCCTCCTATCAGACAACAAGTTTCAACTTAATACATTTTTACTCAGTAAATACAAGAACCTGGAGACGACTACAAAGTTCTTTCCTGAGTGAAGTTGGATGTAGCTTTTGTGATGTCCTCAATTATAAGGAGGGCACGAGGACTCTATAATTGGGTCTGAGGGAGGGTGGATCAGGGACACAAAGCACAGAGGGATGAATGACAACTGCAACTGGGAAACTCATCCATTATTATCAGACCCACTTCGGACCAGCTGGGCCGAGCATGAATCTGCAAACTAAAAGGCACGGAGAAGTTAGATCCAGGGGCAGGGTTTACATTACGAGGAAAACAAACAGAAAATGAGTGTTAGAAGCTTTTGGGAGCCCTTTTCTTCCGTTTAGCATGCCATATTCTAATTTAGAGACTAGGGTTGTCACGGTAACCGGTATAGCGGTAAACCCCGGTAAAAAAGTTGACAATAAAAATAACCGTCCAGTTTTTAAAAAACTATATTATCTCGGTGGGTTTACCGTGGCCGCGGTTTCGGCGCGATGACCCTTACCAGCCACCGTCGCTTCAGCTGAAGTTCCCGCTGCGCGCACACGCACTTTTTAATTTGCAACGGCACCAAAACTTTGAAGCTGAAATAATGGCCGAAGGAGGCGACGGCAGCGCCCAGGACATCCATCAGCCCTCAAAGAAGACTAAATCGGAAGTATGGGCATATTTGGGATTTCTGAAAAATGCTGAGGGACAGAAGACGGCTATCCCGTTTGCAGAACGTGCAGGAAACAAGTGTCTGCAAAAGGCAGCAACACTTCGAATCTGATGGCACATCTGCGTGACGATCACCCACGTCTCCACAGCCAGTGCAAGGTAAGATAACATTAGCATTTTAGCTGAAATGCATGACGTGAGGACTTTTGGTTGAGGGAGAATGCAACGAGTCACTATATACTGCAGCCGCAGCGCCCTCTGCCAGCATTTAAACCGTGTCACGGACACCCTGTTGCTGGATGAAGCATCTTATTTGTTGATGATGAAGAGAAATATACAATTAGTTCCTTGTCATGGATTTGTTTACTTATTCAATGCCATTTATACTTGAACATTTGGATTTGATTACATAGTGTAGTAGTTATTTTAGTAATTTGTTTAAAGTGGATATTTATTTTAAATACATATTTTTTAAGGTTGACTTGTACAGTGCTCAAGTCAAGTGTGGACTGGAGTTTTAGATTTTCATTTTGATAATGAAGAAAACAAGTATATGAGAAAACAAGTGG